GAAAATAAGCAAAAGGAGATTCTAGTATCGAAAAACACAGTAATTTAAATTAAAAACACTATAGATGAGTTTAATAACAGATTTAACCCAACAGAAGAAAGGATTAGTGAACTGGAAAACAGACTAGTAGAAGAAATAAAATTAATCATGGAGAGAAAAAAATAATGGAAAATAGAGATTAAAGCATAAAAGACTTTTAGGAATAAAATTCTCTGTGAAATTATAGTCCCAGAAGGAGAAGAGGAAGGTGGAGAGAAATGGGACACAAGAAATGTTTGGGAGACTTCCAGGCAAGATGGCAGCATAGGCAGACATGGCTCACCTCCTCGCTCAACCACATCAAAGTTACAACTAAAATATAGAACAACCATCAATTAGAACCATCAGAAATTGAGTTGAATGGAAATATGACAACTATGGAATTAAAGAAACCACATCCATCAAGACTGGTAGGAGGGGCATAGATGTGGAATAGGCTGGTCCCACACCTACAATGGTGGATAAAAATTTGGGAGAGATATCTCAGGAACAAGGAGTCCCAAGCATGTTCCAAAAACTAAAGCCACCATTTCAAGAAGTACTGAGAACTCTAAGTAGGATTTTTAAATCTTAAAAGTGGTCAGAGAGTCCTGGTTGGGTGGTTTAGTTGGTTACAATGTCGTCCCATACATTGAAAGGTTGCAGGTTCCACCCCCAGTCAGGGCACATACCTAGGTTGAATGTTCAATCCCTGGTTGGGGCACATAGGGGAGGCAACCAATTCATGTTTCTCTCTCACATCAATATCAATTTCTCTCTCTATCTCTTTCAAATCAATATGCATAACCTTAAGCGAGGATTTAAAAAAAATGATCAGAGAAAAACACATTACTTTTAAAGGAGCAAAGTAAAATTAATAGTTGGCATCTCAAAGAAAAAAATGGGAACCAAAAGACAAATGAAATGGTATCTTGAAAAATGATGAAGGATGAAATACCTAAAGGGTTCAGCTAAACAGTTGAAGGATGAGACCAGCTCTGCATCAGGCCCACTGAGTTTTCTGGGTTAGGCCTTTCCTCTTTGGGGCTCAGTATCTTTAAAGTCAGGATATTGGATTAGTTATTTCCCGTAGTGGATATTTCCCATTTGCCCCTTTAGGTCTACTCTACACCCTTTTCCACCTTTGCCATGTGCCCTGGAGGCTGACCATTGTGGGTCATACACAGAAGCTTCCTGCTCTCTGGTCTCCTGTTGTGTTCTTTGCCTATTGGGGACACAAACAGAAAATCCGAGGGTGGGAGAAGAGCAAGTTTGAGGCATTAATTCTGATTCCCTCCCTGTGTCATCATCAAAAGTTAGTTCTTGGCATGCAGTCCTCTTCACATAGCTCTTTCTGTCTTCTGTTTCCAACAACTTTTCCTTCCTCTCACTTCTTCAGGCTTAGGGATCTAAGTGCCCCACAGTTTCTGTGGTTCTAGACCACCTACTCACCCCCGTGTATATAGTCCCTCTCCTCAAGATACCCACCCATTGACAGAATTAAAAAGAGAAATAGATAAATTCGCAGTCATAATCAGGGATTTTAACATATGTCACTTGGTAATTCCTAGAACAAACAGAAAAATTACTGAGAATATAGATTTGAGCAACTGATTAATAAACTTGACCTAAGTGACATAATCAACATAGATAAAACAATGTGTCACAAAAATGCAGAACACATAACTCAAAAGCCCATGAAACATTTATCAAAATAGACCACATGCTGGCCACAGCTCAGGCCTCAATAGATTGCGAAGGATGAAAATTAGATAGAGTAAGTTCTCAGACCACATTGTAATGAGGCTAGAAATCACTACCAAAAAGATAATTAGAAAATCTCCAAATATATGGAATGTAAGCAACATGTTTGTAAAATCAGTCTTTCATTTTCCCTTTGTTTCTAATCTTGATCCTTCTCCCTCTACCTTGGTGAAGAGTGACAGACTTCTCTCACATTCCCACAGATTCACACACTGTCCCAGCTCAAACATTCCCTGAACACTCTTGCAATGCCAAGCCCTTGACTGGCCTCCTGGTAAGACGCTCCTTGCTCTTCTTGAACAGTCTGAAGACAAGCCCCAATCTAGGGGGTCCAAGGCAAATGGGGAGCACTCTGCAATCAAATTCTTTTTGTCTATACACCTGAAAAAGGGGCAGTCCCAAAGCTGGCTTCCAAAGTGGGTAACTATTTGTCCTTTTAGTGCTTCTCAAGTCACATGTACTTTGCTCAGTTCTGCAAAATTGAATCAACTTTAAGCACTGACATAGGCAATGACTGTGATCTAAGATTTAAACGAACAGGTTCTCAAGATAATCATGGTCCAAACTTCTTTGACTGCCATCTGAAGCCTTTCACCCACTGGCTCTTGCCTCATTTTTTTTTTCCTGCTACTTACTCCCTCCTGCTCTGATCTCTAGCCATTCGAATAATTTGCAGTTCCTGACTCCTTTCTGCCCTCTCTGTCCCTTTGACCTTGAGTCTATTTGGCTCTCAGTCTTTTTCTTTCAGCTTAAATGCCACTCCCTCCAGGAAGCCTCCTTTGATGAACAGTTCCAAGACTACATTAGTTGCCCTTCCTCACAACACCCTGCATTCACCCCAGTGGTCATTCTTGCCACTCTGTGTTATAACCTCCTGTTTATTTTTTATTCTCCACATGCTTAGACTTGAGCTCCCTGAGAGGAAGCCCTAGTCCTTCTTGTGTCTTTGGTCTCTAGCTGAAGGCCTAGCCCCTCATAGAGAATATTTGCTGAGTGAAGGAGATAATGAATGTGGAGTTAAAATCAGGATTCATGAAAGAGTCCAAGGGTGTGGTAGCTGAAATATTCTAAGTACTTCAGAGGTTATTGCCTCTGAAATATGTTCCTTTCCAAGATGCTTGCTTTAAACCATTTTTGATTGTTAGGCAAAAACTACAAAATGAAATAATTACAATAGTCCCCAATCCCTTTCCTCAGCCATGCTTTCTGCAGTTTCAGCTACCCACAGTCAACCACAGTTTAAAAATATTAAATAGAGAGAGGCTTTTTGACCACGCAGCTTAGGAAGCAGGATGTAACTGGGAAGGGGAGACAGGGCCTGCGAGAGAGAGAATAGGACACAGACTCTGGGGAACAATGTGAAGGTCATGTGGGAAGGAAAGGGGAGAAAGGACTCTTGCTAGTGGGCCATGAGAAGATGCTACGTGGTTTTTGGATTAAGAACTAGAGATCACGGCAACACAGCTGATGATGCTGGGAACCATGAGAGGGTTGCCTAGCTGAGCCCCAGACTTCCGTTGTTTTTCTTCTGAAGGATGGTGCCCCTGACTGGCCTGAGTGGGCAAAGTGAGGAAGGCAAGACTGTGTGTGTGTGTTGGTGAGTGTTTTAAAGGGATTTTAAAATTTTAACAGCGACTTTTAGCCATTATTAAAAACTTGTATAACTTTTGAATAAATAGTTCCTTTCCTTTTCACCAAAAAAATAAGAAAGAAAAGAATATTAAATGGAAAAGTCCAGAAGTAGATAATTCAGAAACTATTTTGAGAGACCACATTCATATAAATTTTATCACTGTATATTGTAATTGTCATATTTTTTATTAGTTATTATTGCTAATTGCTTACTGTTCCTAATTTATAAGTGAAATTTTATCATAGGTATGCATGCATAGGAAAAAACACAGTATACATAAGGTTTGGTACTGTATGCAATTTCAGTCATCCACTGGAGTTCTTGGAACATATTCCCCCATGGATAAGAGGGCACGGCTGTATAGGTTGCTTTCAGTTCCCTGCTGCCAGGGTTTTCCTTGTTCTCAGCCCTCTCTGTAACAGAGCTGTCAACCTACTATGTAATTCCCGCCATACCCTCTTCTCTCCCTCTGACTATCTACATTTACTTACCCTTTTATTTATATATAACAGAAGTATTGAACTTTTCATTTAATGTAATCCATTTAATATTTGTCCTAAACAGCTCTCTCAGTCACATAGCCAGTGCCTGGAGGGCAGGTGCATCATGCCTTTCTCTGTGCAGAACTTTGCACAGTGCCATGAGAAAGCAGGTACATCCAAGAGTAGATAACAATGGGAGTTCTTTTGCGTGCAGTAGGAACATTGAATGTAAAACTGCAACTGATAGAAAGGCCTGAGGGTACTTCATCCCCTATGAAAAATCTACTTTACTGCATTATTCAGCTGGCTTTATCCCCTGCACCCCAGCCACCCAGGGCCATCCAGGACTGCAATGCACTGGTGTACTTGGAGCTAAGAGGCTAGACTTGTTAGGACCCAGGGACCTCTTGGATGTGATATGGGAAGGGATTCACAGGAAAGCCAAATGAGAAATCTCCCCAACTTTTTTCTAAGACACAAAGATGAAAGGTAGTATGTAGAAACACCTACTAAGGTTTTTGTTTTCCTAATTGGATCATAATTGATAGACCATACATTAAGTACCTTATTTGTTGACATGTTTATTGCCTGTGCCCTCCCCCCATGTAAGCTCCATGGGGGCAGGCATTGGACTAACGGATTCAGGCATTGAAACAATGGGATACTCCCAGCATCCAGGGAATAGGTGGCAGCAACTATAGGGAAAGGGTAGGGTGCAAAGGAGATGAGAATAAGGACTGAAATTTATTGACACTAGGAAATTGGCCATTGCAATGGCAAAATGAAACAGTGAGCTGCTCAGCCAGTCTTTTTTTCTTGACATCTGGGCAGTTAGTCATGGCCAAACCCAACCAGTGTGTCATTGGCCCTCTGTGCCCTCTTACACTTCTGGGTGGGACACCATAGAATCCCTGGGCCCTGAAGAGAATCCTGGGGAGCTGTGCAAATGGCCCAGGGGACTATCCGTTGCTGGCATCTCCTCTGCTCCTCATGTGAGAGCCCTATGAAGCCTCTGTTGTGGTGGGGAATGATGCAGCTTGCATTCGAACTTGCTCCCTTTCCTCGAGCTCAAAATCCATGCATTCGTCGCCTTGTCTTATAATTTATAGTGTCAAGTCAACATAGACGTTCCTATAACCTTTGATATCCTTAAACTTGTTGCTTCTCAGATTAGCTTGTATCTGCCTTTGGCCACTCCTGAAGGGAACAGTCTTTAGAGTGATGCTGGCCCGTTGTTGTGGTTTGAGGACTCCAATCCTGCAGCAGAGAAAGGGCAATGTCAGAAAACTGTAGGCATTGTAATCACCCCAAAGCCCTTTTCCACTCAGTTAGCTGGTTTCCCCTTTCCCAGTGTTCTCAGAGCCTGGCTTGGATAGCGCTGACCCCCAGCTAAGGCAGAAGAGACAGCTGACAACCCCCAACACTCACAACACTCTCTGCTGTTTCTTGAAGAAACCACTTCCTTCCACAGTCAGCACACAGTCTGCAACCTGCTCCGAGAGAGGATTTGAAAATATCACCTGGATGGCAAGTGGCTGGTTCACAATGGCTGCTCCTAGGACCTAAACAGAGAAATCCATAGGAGAAGAAGGAGCAGAGAATTAGTCTCTTCTTCAATTCACCAAACTCTTGTGGAGGGCACTGTTCCTTAAATCTGTTTCCTGAAGAGCTGGACTTCCATGAGCTGTGTTTTTCCAACTGGGGATTAAAACCAACTTAATGGGCCCTGGCTAGTGTGACCCAGTTGGTTGGAGCATTGTCCCCTAAACCCAAAGTCTGCGGGTTTGATTCCTGGTTAAGGCACATGCCTAGGTTTCAGGTTCAGTCCCCGGCCAAGGCATGTAGAGAGGCAACTGATCGATGTATCTCTCTCATATCGATGCTGCTTTCCCTCTCTCCCCAGCCCATTCCCCTCTCTCTAAAGTCAATAAGCATATCCTCAGGTGAGGATTAAAAAAAAACACAACTTAATGGGTTGTCATTAATATTAATAAAATGAAATAGACAAAATATCAGTGTATGTCACACAAGATATTGTTATGTAGATACTTTTGCTTCATTTATACATCTATGAATGTTTGTAAAATATTTTACATCAATCAACCCTGTATATGGAAAAGTCTAATAAATTGGGAGTCTCCAGTGATGTTTCCTCTGTTCCAATGATTATCTCCAAGTATAAAATAATCAAGAGCTTTCAAAGGATTATCATACATAATCTGAGTAGATCGAATATTCTTTGGCAGTTTTTGTTTGTTTCTTTGTATTTCAATTCCACCCTATCCCCTCTCTCTCTGTCATTGTATATGGCTCATTTCTTTCATGTGAAGAGTTTATTCAGGGCTGTAGAGACAAGGAAGCAGCCTCAGCAAACCTAGAGGCACTTTTGGAAACTCCCCCAAAACAGATTCCCGGGGCTGGGCTTGCCAGATGCACACCACCAGGGGGCACAACAGGCTCGTGTGGCAAGTGCCAGGAGGTTGCTTGGCCTTGGGGAGGCAGCACTGGAAGGAAGGGACACAGAACGTCAGAGAAGGAGGTGTCCTTAGAGGCCATCTAGTCTAACCCTCTCAATTGACAATTCAAGAAGCAGAGGCCCAGGGGTTTGTCCAAGGATTCACAGTCAGCCAGTGTTCTTCCTCTTCTCAGATCCCTCCCATTTGAGCTCATGTTGACCCTGGGGAAGGCCAACAGTGGGAGGTAGCACAAGAAAAGGACCTCTTCATGGCCGCTGCTTAAGGTCCACCCGTAAGATATCTAATGGTGCAATAGGATGGCAGCATCACCCAGTGATCTCAGATAGGCCTCCTGATGCAGGTGGGAGGTGCCTGGAAGCACCAGGAGAGGCAGAGGAAAGGAGGGACTGCTGCTCTCCTGAGCAGGCTCTCAGAGGGCTCCAGCCCCTGCCGCTGATCCCAGGAGCCCCCAGGTCACCTGTAAGGCTCTTGCCTACATTAATCATGATGGCAGGATACACTAATGTGATGATCTTGTCCACCAGGATCTTCTCAGGATTGCTCTTCTCTTCTCCCAGGGCACTGATACGAATCAGCTTGTCTGTTGACAGGTACTGGCTGTACTGGGAATAGGGGATTTGGCAGGGATAGGTCTTTTCTAGGGAGAGAACACAAGGATGAGGTGAGACTGCTGGAGAAATCAGCTGTGCCTGGTAGATATCGGGACCCTTTTATAGAGAGGAGGAAACCAACATGTACTGAGCCCCAGTGAAGTGGGTACCAGGTGTTCAGGTGGAAAGACTGAGAAGTAAAAAGGCTTGCCCAAGGTTATTCTGCTGATAAATGGGTGAGGTGAGCCTTTAACCAAAGTTTGGATGGCTTTAAAACTCAGGTTTTCCCCCATTAAGCCAGGCTACTTTCCTTTGCGTAGTGAGAGAAGGGTAGGAGGAAGAAGAAGAGACATAGGGAAGGAAGTAAGGGGAAGATGAGGAATCTACTGGAGGGGACACCAGGAAGATGGTGTCACAGGGGTCTGCCCCACAACCCTTGTTGGCTGGCTTAACCCCACTGTGTGTGCACAGAGTCCCCTACGCCTGTACACAGAGCCCATACCTTCTTCAGGAAAGAGCTGGATGAAGGCTGTATCCTGCCAGAATGGGGGCAGAGGACTCCCATCATGCAGCAGAGACTGAGCACTCAGGTTCACCTTGAGGTCCTTGAACTGGAGTGACATGTTGAGGGCCAGCAGGAAAAACCTTATGTCCTGGCCCATGTTGGGAGGGTCAAGCAGCTGGAATTTCAGGGAGACTTGGATAACATCGCTGGGCCGAAGGGAAGGTGTATTCAGACTCCGAGGACTGTCCTGGCTCAGGGGCATGGGCCTGGAAGGCTGCGAGTCTGCTTGGTAGTGGTCTTGGGGCCCTCCAGTCTTCAGCTTCTGAAGAGCTTTCAGAAACACTTGCCTCTCCTGGGGGGAACCTGGGAGGGCAGAGATGGCACCAGCTGTGGGCCAGGCTGACCCAGGGGCTAAGCCATGGCTGAACATCTTTCCCAACAGTCCCTCCAACACTGCAGGGTTGTTAAAACCCTCATTTCCAACATCAACCACTCCCTATAATTCATCAGGTACTTCCTAAGTGTCAGGCTCTGCTAAGCACATCACATCAACCATGAGAAAGATGTATTATTATTATTCTATAAACAGATGTGGAAGATGAGGCTCAGAAAGGTCATGTCAGTTGCCCAAGTCACACAGCTTGCAATGGTCAGAGTCCAAGTGGAAACCAAATCTGACTGATTCGAAAAAAAAATCTGTGCTCATGACCCATAGGCTGTCTTTTCCTTGTGGGAAAGATGAAGGCCCACAAATGTGGAGAATAAGACTTTTAAAGGCAACAGAGCATGATGTGATTTCCTGTTCCAGCACCAAATTATTGGTCAGTTGTAGACTAATTCCTGGAAATGTAGAGACTGAGAAGCCAGTTGGGAAAGAAAAGAGGAAATTCCATCAAGCTGAGTCCTAGAGCACCCAGACCTTAGGCCTAGGGAGGCTCTTTGGCCAGGAATTGCAGGAATACCGACCGACCGTGCTATGTTAATGACCCCAGCAGCTCCCTTCACTGAGTACTTACTGTCTCCAGGGCCCCGCTCCACTGCTCTAGTGCATCCCTACAGACTCCCCAGGAAGAGGCCACTTTTGTCCCCTTGCTCTGGGGATTGTCCTAAGCTCTGTTTCAGGCAGAAGAGGAGCTTGAGCCGCTGGCTTCATGAATCCAGGGAGGTGTGGATCAGATTTAGCTCATTTGTGGTCTGCTCCTCCCTCAGATATTGTAAGGCTGGGTGGGAAGAGACAGAATACTGCCTGGCTGAGCATCACACTCAGAAATATAGCTCCAGACCCTCCAAGTTCACAGGGGAACCCTGCAGACCTTGTAGCAATTGTTCTCCATGCCCCACCCACCTCCCCTTGATACTTGCCATTTCAGCGCCCCATGCCTTAATTTCAAATTCTAGCATCTGCTACTACTCTTTGCCTGAGGCTTTCTCTGCCATCAGAGTGGACCCTGCCCTTGTATGGGGCAGGGCAAAAGTGCTAGGCAATTTACACCCCCCAGGAGCAGCCCTCAACCCCCAACCAACAGGAGTTGATAGATAAATAATAGCCCCTTGCCTCTTAGGTGGGATAAATCTAGGGTGTTGTTTTACACTTTACACTGAATCCCTGATAGGGTGGCCAGATTTAGCAAATAAAAATACAAGGTTATTCATTTTGAATTTCAGATTCACAACAAATAATTGAGAGCATGGTTAGACTAAAGCATTATTCATCCTGTACTTTGCCTGGCCACCCCACTGGCAGAAATCCCCAGCAGGACTGATCTCCAGCGGCCCAGAGTGCTAACGGGCTTGACTGGGCACTCTGCATAGCTATCTCCCCTTCCCTGTCTCACTTGCTCACTCTCCTTCCTTCCAGGAGTTCCTGGATTGCCTCACAGATAAATTTGAATCCTTGTCTCAGGATCTGTTTCTGGGCACCCCAACCAAGGTAATCCCAGAGTGCATAAGGGTAGGGAGGGATGGACGGCATCACTGGGCTCTGCTCAGTGCTTCTCTTGCTGGGTAGCCCCTTCCTGGGCTTGGATTCTGGAGCTTATCTATATTGGCCCTAACGACCCCCATAGACAAACCACAGATACCCACTTGCCAGCATTCCCAGCAATTGCTCAGCGACCTGCCTCCCCCACCCTCACACATTCCTGACTTGCCTCTGCTCCGATCTTGCCCCTCACCCTGCTTCTGACCCTCATGGACTGCATATTTTTGCTTGGCTGCTTAGTGATTGAACCCGGTGGTTGGTCTTCCTCAATTTCCAGAAATTAGTACAGAGTTGACTAACTAAGCTGTCCCTTTGCCCCTTCTGGCTTGGGCAAGGAGTGCCTCCCAGGTCTCCCATCTCTCCAAACCATCCTCTGCAGGGAGTAGGCGTGAGAGTGAACATATAGCCCTATATTAGCCTCAGTGCTCACTGGTGGTCTGACCTGTTCCCCAAGCACTCAATGAACACAGTAAATTAAATAATAAGTTAAATAAAATTAATTAAATTAATTAATAAGAAAGTTTACTAACCACCCCCCACCCCCACCATCTTCATTGGGAGGCCAAGTTTTGGGGAAGACAGGAATGAGGGATTCTTATGCTATTGGTGAGATGCCTGTCAATGGCCCTATATTCAAGGTGAACATCTATGGAGGATGCTCACTGGCCTGTGGGATGTGGGGTGGTGGAGGGCATGAGGAAGTGAGGTAGTGGGGACAACTGGGAACTTGAAATGGAAGGGCTGAGGAGACAGTGGACTGGGTCCTGCCCCACAGATGCCCTCTGGTTCCCCAGAGGCCTGTTCCAGCCGGTTGGATGGTTCCCTGGGGGAGGGGAAGGTGCGCACAGAATTTAGACTCTGAGAGAGGCTGGCTTAGTCATACCTTCTTCATACTTGTAGTTCTCTGTGACATCATCCCGCTCATCACTGTGGATGCTCTTGGTGCTGATAAAATTGCCAACAGCATTCGTGTCCCGGTGAAGTCTCTGCTCCTTCCCTCCATGGATGAGCCAGGACACACAGTCGGCATTCACCATGGAAAAGACGAAGGCCGTGTCATAGCTCAGATCCACATCTCCCTCTTTGATGGCTCTGACCGAGGCAGGGCCGCAGCAGTACAGGCCTGAAGGAGAACAGAAGAGCCACGATGGGCCGGGGCCGTTGCTGCAGGGACTGGCAGGGGCAGGGGCGGTTGCTGTGGGAGTGGGTTCTGCCTTTCTTCTGGAGGGCCTCACCGTTGCTCGTCTCCTGAGGAGTGGCATCCAGCACCTGCCAGCCTCCGTAACCGGGAGGGAGGTCATTTCGGGCCATCCAGCACTCATTCCAGACATGGAAGTTCCTGAGGGAAAAGCCAGAGGAGTCAGTGTCAAATAAGCTAAGGGAGAGTTTGTAGGGCTTGTGTTCCATCTGGAGGAAGACAGGGGATGATAAGCAGATGGACTGCCAGATAGAAAGACAAACTTAGCACCCCCAGGCCTCCAAACCTCTGTGGGTGAGTGGAGACAGCTCTTCCTCTGGTGAGCCTCAGTTTGCCCTGGAGGGGGCTTTCCTCTATTTGTGAAGAGAGAATGAAGGCTTCCAGAGCCAACAGAAGTTGAAAATCCTCACTCTCTCTCAGAAAGGTCCCTGTGGCCCTTTCCTGTGTGTGTTACTGACTCACAGAGGCAGTTACGTCTTTGTGTCTTTGGGGAGGAGATACCAAGCCCTGGGGGCTGGTAAAAGTGGGGACTGGGAGTGTGAGAGGGCATCCGGTTCATGCGCACACTCCTGCTGGTGGGGTTTGCCCTACAAAGAGACTGAGAAGTTGTCTCTCACCAGACAGTGTCCTTCTTCTTATTCTCCAAAATCCTGCCTGTGTTGTCGTAATACTCGTCTATGATTAGGTTTCCGTCTGTGTCGTGACCAGAGTCAAAGTTGGTGATCACGCGGGTGGGGATCCCCAGGCACCTCATCACTGGAAAAAAGGTAGAAAGTCTTTTGAGGTTTTGGATTCAGGAGCTCTATGGGTTCCTGGAGTTGGGGCCCTGGGCCCAGGGAGATCATTCATTAGGCAACTTCAGGACTAGGCAGGAGCTCTCTGGGGCACTGGGTTGGACACACTGCCAACCTTCCCCCCCACTTTCCTGAGCTCCTCTTCCTGGCACTCACAGAAGACACTCAGGACAAAGGCTGCAGATTGCTCGACAAGCACTGCCAGGGCCAACAGAAAGTCTAGCGCGTCATGAGTTCCCTTGCCTGGGCCAGCAGGACGGGACAGGCACACCTCCTTTGGTAAGACTCAGTGGTCTGACTCAGTCTCACTTCTCTCCTGATCATAAATTCCCTTCTCCAAGCCAAATAGCTGGAACATCTTCCTTCCTGTGGTTAAGGATTGTTGGCTGAGAACATCAGATTCTTAGGCAGAGTCCTGTGGTTTGGACTCCCTGTTTTCCATGACTGGATAATCTTGGCAGCTTCTCAAGGAAAGCACCACATATCCAGCCTGGAAGGGAAGGAAACTGTGACAGGAGCCTAGAAAAGGGAGTGTGTTGCTGGTGGAGAAATTCTGGGCAAGAAGGAGAATGTTGTCTTGATTCCTGAAGGAGAAGCCTTTCCCTTTGCCAGGCAACTTCTTTTCTTTGTCCTCTGCCATATTTCTCCCACTCCGCACTCTTTCGAGCGCAGCAATGTCCCCCAGGCCATCCTACCACCAAATGCCCAGGGGATCCTGGTCCCCTTAAGTGTAACAGTGGCAGCCCACCCAAATCAAGCATAATCAAAATCGTAATATAATATCTACCAGCAGGCATGGTGTTCTCTTACATACTTTATGCTCAGGACAACTCTATACAGAAGTTGCTCTTGTTATTCCCATTTTACAGATGAAGAATTAGAGGCTAAGAAAAGTTTGCTTACCCTGACCAAAGCCACACAGCTAGGAAGTGGCAAAACTATACCTCAAGTTCTGGCTTTACTGCTAAGCTTGTACTCAATTCTGGGTCAGTATCATGCACACAGTTCAGCATTCTAGTATTTTCACATCATTACATATCCCAAACATTTTCCTGTGTTATCAAGTATTTGCCAAAAGCAAGATTTCTAGTGGTGGTTATTTTTAGATATTTTGTTGGTTTCCATTTTTTCCCCATTTTAAATAATGCTGTGATAAACATCTTTATAGAGCAATATTTTTTTTTCCTCCCTTGGGACAAATTCTAGCAGGTAGAAATGCCTGAGTAAAAAATAGATATTTCTAAGGGTTCTTCACACATACTACTGTCACTTTTTAAAATGTTCATAATATTTGGTTTAAATACTTATTCATATTAAACATTTAATTGCTTATAGATTTTAGTTTGGGCTCCTTCTTATACTTTGGCACAAAGCCTCTCCCAGGCTAGGGTGTGGACACACCCCTGCATGTAGCCCAGAACAGGGAGGAGAAGAGCCTGAAGGGGAACCTGAAGTTCTCCTTGGAGTGGCAGGTCTGCACAGGGCCAAAGAACAAGGGCAGGGAGTGAGTAGAGCTGACAAGAGAGTTGTAGGTGGAGGTGGCACAGGACACCTCAGAAGGGAGGGTGAAGGTTAAAAGAGCTGTCACTGAAAGATTGTGAGACAGGAGTGATGCAAGAGCACTCAAGTGACTCGAGAGCATTGCATGGGCCAGGATTTATGCTAAGATTACAGTCAGACTGGTGGATAACACTTATGGTAATAAGAGAACGTGCCACGGAGGGGCGGGTAGGGAGAACAGGGAGCAAGCATCCATTCTCACCCTGATGATGAGTTCATGAACAGCCACTTGAAATGTCAGTGCTGGTGTCAACTCCTGCTCACTGTGGCCGGATGGGCACAGAGTGTCTGCTCAGTCATGTTGGAAGTGTGTCATCTTTAACCTGTGAACAAAACTTCTGTAGGCTATCGCTCCTGATGATTCCGTTTGACGTGAGATCGGCGTGACTCTTTCACTTACAATTTTGTAGGAGCTGAGCCCCTTGTAAAAGAGAAACCCATAGGAGGTGTGTTTGTGTGTGTGCACCCAGAGGCATACACACTCACACTGTGATACTTTTGGAAAAATGTGGACAAGATCACAGAGTTGGAAAAGAACTAAAGAGTTCCCAAGGCATATTACACAACACCCCTCTCAGCGTGAATTACTATCTCCCGTAGCTCAGTCATTTAGCACTTATTCAGTGACAAGTGCCAGGCCCTTGCTATGAACCAGGCAGTGAGTTAGCTTCAGGGTACACAAACATAACAGACATTCCTGCTCTCCAGGAGGTGGACACTGTCCGGATGGTGCATTAAATCACGAAGTCTGTTTCAGGACTGGCTCTGAAGGCCTCTCATGAGTTCTTCCCCTCCATCACCACCCCTACCGCCCCATGAGGAAATGTAGCTCCAATTTTTGCAAGAGAAATTAGTGGAAAGATAGAGTTCAATTTATTTATTTATTGAAATTCATTTGGTCAACTTTGCTACCACACTTCCTTGTCTTATACTGAAAAACAGAGTCAAGGCCCCAGCTAATAAAGTAAAAGTAATTGCATTTAAATGTGATAAATTTTAAACATCTTTTAATTTCTCCCTGGTTGCATTAAGCTTCCAAACTGTAAAAGTACCACTTCCTGCTCCTCCTGTCATGCCTTTAATTGTTCCTCATAATAAGATGGCTTGGTTTTTCAGATAGGGTATCATGAGGTCATATTTGAAATATCCTCTCTTGTCTGCAATGGTAATGAAGTCTAAAACTGCTCTAAAAAAATAAAGCCTGTTTAAAAAATTATAGACATGTAAAGATTTTTCATAATCAAGAAAAATTTCAATCAATAGAACTAGATCCAGAAATGACAGAGATAATGGAACTAGCTGACAAGGACCTTAGAATGGCTATTTTAAATACTATAAATATGCTCAAGAGAAAGTAAATGAAAACATGAATATAATAAGAAAAGTAGAAGATAAAGAAAAGACCCAATGAAACTTTTAAAGGTGAAAAATCCACCCTGGCTGGCGTGACTCAGTGGACTGATTGCCAGCCTGAGAACCGAAAGTTTGACGGTTTGATTCCCAGTCAGAGCACATGCCTAGGTTGTGGGCCAGGTCCCCTGTTGGTGGCATGGGAGCGGCAACCATTCTCCCCCTTTCTTTTCTCTCCCTTCCCATCTCTCTAAAGATAAATAAATAAAATCTTTTTAAAAATAAAGGCGAAAAATACAATCTAGAAAACAAAAACATGCTGGACAAAATATTGCACAAAGATAATAATATACTTATTATGAACATACCTTCAAATAAAATGCTACATATTAAACAATCAAAATGTTTCCCTGTCATGGGAGGAGGTGATGGAAGTTGGTTATGAGATAGATGAGGGAAATCAATTAATTATATTTTTTAAAAAGAGGGGCCAGAACAGACCTATTATGATAAATGCCATGATGTGAGGAATATGATTAATTTAATCCTAAACACTCCAAGGAACAAAGGAAGAAAATAAACTAAAAAAGTGGTAGAGAATATAGGGAACTGGAGTATGGGGGGTGGCTAGAAATACCTTTTAAACAAGAGCCAGCCAGACATTTGGAGCCCAAGAGGCAGAGATTAAAACACTATGAGACTAATTATAATAGCTAAAGATTATGTAAAACTAAACATGTGCTAGGCATTTTTCTAAGTGCTCGTCATATATTAACCACAACCCTGTGAGGGAACTTTCCATACAATCCTTGATGCCTCATAAATCCCTGGAGAATAATGGTAGATTTGTGTCGAAACCAAAGGCTGAAGCAAAATAACACAGCAGGGCCTTGGCTGAGTTCCCTCTTTGAAAGAAAAGTGCTCAGTAAAAACAATGAGGACAAGACTTATTGTATTGAAAAGAAGACCATAAGGTAGTTTATAGTGAGAAGAAATCTTAGATTAGTTTTGGGTGAAGAGAGGAGAGTCCAGCACCAAGCACTCAGCCTCCTGATCTTTATACATCATTTCCCACCTTGGTTCAGGGCCCAGGGCCCCACTTTACAGAGGATGCCACATAGACCTGCTTACAGTCACATGTGCAAGTCTTCCAACCCTCAGCCCCTCACTTCTGCGCTCACTCCTACCCCATGCACTTGTGGGCAGGAGCCTACCAGGCCCAGGTACATTTCCAGGATGCCTGGCTTTAAAAAAAACTTTATTGAGATAATTCACATACCATAAAATTCACCTGTTTAGAGCGTACAATCCAGTGGTTGGTAGTATACTCACAGATTATACAACAAATCCCACTATCTAATCCCAGAGCATTTCATCACCTCAAAAATAAACTCCATGCCCACTAGCAGTCACTTTCCATTCTCCCCTCCCCCAGCCCCAGACGATCAGTAACCCATTCTGTCTCTACAAATTGGCCTCCTCTGGGCACTTCACATATATGGAATCAGATAGTAGGGGCTTTTGGACACCTGGCTTTGGGGAGAATCTTCAGGCAAAAGAACATCATTTCCCCCTCTGTTCCCTTGTCACAACACAAGGCTTCCAGGCTGCTCCACAGACCTCAGCCGAGGACCGCGGGGCCTGGCCTTGCCACGGGAGCGGACGGCCAGAACGGGGAAAGCCTAATGACTGAGAGCTGCGGGGAAGCTGGCCCTGAGCATAGGAAGGGTAGGCCAGGGATTTCTCTGAGCTTCTCAGAGCAACAGACAGCTAACCGCATGTCAAGGAAACAACCCATCCAAAAGTCGTAACTTTATCTTTGAGGCATCCAAAGTCTTGTTTCTGTGATTTTTCTTCAGGAACTTGAAGTCAGTGTGTTCACATGTAGAAAGGCAATACTAGGAGATGGAGCTGCTGGGGGCAGAATGTACTCCTGAGTCAGACACAAGTCACTTGGTCACTTTTAAGCCTCAGTTTCTCACCTGTAAACTGATGGTAGTGACAGCTACTTTGCACATGGTTGTGAGGATTAGAAAGAGTGAAAGTGCTCAGTATGTGCCTGAAGCATAGAGATGCTGGATAAATGGCAGCTGCTAGGAATGTTTGTGCAGAATGTGGCTTAGTGGTTAGAGCCTGCCAAGCCTGGATGTGAGATTAGCTCCACCGCTCAATTTCCTCCTCTGAGAAACTGAGATTGCTGGTAAGACCCACTTCATAAGGTCATGCGGAGGATCAAATGAAGCTACCCTAGCTAATATGGAACACTCACTGTAGCCAGGCTCCAGTCGAAGAATTCTCCATATATGAACTCACTCAATGCTTTCAATAACCCTGTGACAAAGGTGTTACTTTCCCCATCATATGTCTGAGGAAACATGAGGCACACGTTAAGTGACTTGCCCAAGGTTACTCAGCCAACTAATGTTAGTGCTGGTGTTTGAACGCAAGCAGTCTATCTCTGGAGCCCACATGCTTCACCATTACTCTAAGCTGTTAAAGTTTTAGCACAGTTCCTGGCACAAAAGAGTCTTCAGTAAACACCAGTTATTGTGATTGTGAAATAATAATAATACTTTGGTAACTGAATATGGTTAAAGAACATCATATATACCTGACTTTTATTGGAAAACAGAGACCAGGTCTTACTTGTTTTTGTATCAAAAAGTATTTGAAGTGCCTAGCATAAAATAAGGACTCAATAAATAAGTGTTATTGGATGAATGAATGAGTTTTTAAAACTGATATACTTATTAATATATGACATGGTAGCCCTTTTGGGGAAACCTGGTGGTGACTGAACTGTAGTTGGACCCACTGCAGCCCACATTTGACCCACTTTGCCCAACCTTTTGCTTCCTAGGTCACTAAAGGACTATTATTCTCATAAACATTTTAATTGATCTGTTCTGTTGCATAATCTCCATTCACTCCACCTCTGTCTTCACTCAGTTCCAGACAACCACACCCAAACCCCTGTCCCTTGCCTTTTACATGCACACACACTGGCACATTATACTCAAGGGTTTTCCCATGCACAGGAAGACTCCCTCTCTATTGTGCGAGGACAAGACCGATCCATTCCCTGCCTCAGTTTTGCACCTCCTCCCTGGGTGATTCAAACATTCTAGTTTACCCAAATGTCTGTGGCTCTGGGTATCAAAGCTGTCAAATTACTGGTTCCTGACAGCTCGGGGCAGGGAATGGCGGGGGGCAGGGATCCAACCAAAAAGAAAAAGAGCTCATGGACATGGACAAGAGTGTGGTGATTGTTGGGGGGAAGAGGGTGGGTGGAGGTGGAAGAGGGTAAAAGGAGATAAATGGTAATGAAAAAATACAATAAAAATGAACTATTAAAAACAAACAAAGAAATTCAGGGATCCTTTGAGCAATCGAAGTGCCCAACTCAATATGGGGCTGTGTAGATGAGGGGGAGGAACAGCTCAGGATCTCCTCCTCACCAGCCCATGTGAAGTCACCCTCTGTGGGTGTTGACAGAAACTTCCCTGGGCTCCTGGACAGAGGCTCAGCCTTTTGTGGGCAGCCCGGAACTCTCTAGGCTTCCTCCAAGATCCTGAAACTGGGCCCGGACCACACATGCACACAGACTGCACCAGGCTTTATCTTATAGGGAACTTCTACACAAAAGGCCTCAGTCCTCAGTAAGACCAAGCTGTAGGCCAATCTGGCCTCCCTGGATTGCACTAGAGACCTGCTGTGAGCAAAAGCTATGCTTGGGATCTTTCCCCAGGTAACAATAACTTCCTGCTTGTGACCCAAGTCAGGTACAGGGATATGCACCAAGTCAGGTGCAGGGATATGAGAGCTGGTGTAGGCATGGAGGGCAGGGTGAGGGTGAGGGCTGGGAGCAAGGGTTTGACCCTGGGTGAGGTGGAAGAAGCCCCTCCTGCTACCTGCAGTGTGTGATTCATTTCCTGGGTGTCAGTTTCCTCACTCCCCCAAAATTCACTCCCCACTTCCTCTGCTTGCTCCTCTTGCCCCATGAAACTAGCTTCCATTTGCCTTCTTTTCTATGTATCTATTTTTTAGCTTTTCTTCTACTAATATTGCATCTACTCCCTATCTGAAAAGCTGATCTACCGTTTCCCTCATCCTCTAATTCCCTGCCCTGAGCCAGGCCTCCAGGCCCTCTGAACTTGTGACAACTCCAGATTCACTGTCACTGTACTTTGGCTGCCATCTTGCTCTGGCCCTGCGGCCCATACGCCTGCTTAGAGATGCACATCTCCCTCTCCTGTGAACATCTTCATTACAACCCTTCCTTGTGCTAATCAGTTTGTAAGTTTTCTAATAACTTGGCCTCTCATCTCATTCCTATCTTGCAGTGGACAATTTCCAGCCAGGTTCTTGGGAATATTCTGCTACATTGTCCATTCTCAGAGGAAGTGAAGGGCACCAGGTTCTGGGAAGCATGTGATTTCTACCTCAAAACCATCCTCTGACATAAGCCCAGATATGTGAAGCCTGAGGTTACCAATGAGGCATTTTTGCCGGAAAGGGCTTCCTTCCAAATTTTCCTTGATGCGAACTGTGTGAGATGGGGACAAAAATTATTTGGAGGGCTAATACATGAGCCATTGCACGTTCTGGTAATTTCATGGGGATCCACCTACTCCCTACCTGTGCACATGATGGCTGCAAAGACCCAGCACTGCCCGTAGCGCACTGGCTGACAACCTGTGGTGTGCCACTGTTTCAGGATGGCCACGCTGCCAGTCCACTCCGCAGGGTTGGTGCCGTCCAAGTAATTCTCACTCCACTTCCCATTAAGCACCCCATTGTCATCATTGCTATTGATCTGAAGAGAAGCCACATATAGTAGAGTTAGAAACATCCTTTTCCTCAACAAGATGTAAGGCCCACGGGCCTGAGACACAGAGGAGGCATTAGTCTCACTTTACCTGGGAACTTCTAGACCAGCTGGGGAAGGGGTAGAGATGTGAAGCTGGCTATTCTGACTTGCACTCTGCTGTTAATTAGTTTATTATTCTATTTCTACACACTCTCTTACCCCTATTCTCCCCATACCTTGAAAAGGTAGAGCTTGGCTCTGATAGTTTTTAAAAATACTTCAGAGCAAAGGAAATTTAGAAACATTAAGACCATTTCATAAACTAAAGCTACACTCAGTCTTTCACAAAGCATGCAATTTGGAATTAATAAACATGGTGGCCCACACCCAGCTATTTCAGAGTTCAGTTGAGAAAACCTGTTAGCCATAGTCTTTCATCAGCCTTATTCAAAATGGCTTTGAAAGAGACCCTGTGCCTCTCAACTCTCCATTCTCCCATTGCCAAGGGTGGGATGAGGGCAACTGTGAGTGGCACTGCTTTCTCCCCCTCTAGACATTCCCTGGGTGGGCAAATCCAGACCCAGCCTCACCATGGCACACACCACTCTGCTGATGTAGACGGGACTTCCCCTAAGGGCACAGTCTGTAGCTGGGTCAGTCTGGAAGTTCAGGCTCTTGTCTAGCAACTTCAGGCAGATATCTATGATATTCTCTTCAAACTGCAAGGAAAGATGCAGAGAGGCAAGGCGCCAATGCTTGGCACATGTAGATATGGAAAGAAATACATGAGCCACACCACCCAGCTCTCCAGTGGAGTATGTTTGTGGAATACAAACCCACTTGGAAGGTAAATGTGTCCCATAGCACAACCATGATCTGCCTCCCAGGCAGGTGCAGGGTCTCAAAGCTCTGGGGTCAAAACTCACCCAGTTTGTATGCCCTGCAGGTCAAATCCCTGGAGTTTTTTCTAATGCGTCTGACTGGCTGAAAAGTCTGTGTCTCTCTCTTCTCTCCTCAATCTCCACAATCTTGGATCTCATGGCACGTTTTTGCTAAAACCACATTGCCTCATCTTCTACCCCCACCCCCTGATTCCAGATCACCATTGGCAGTTACTGCTGAATCCACAGCGCCTGTGACTCAGTGGGGCTGTAGTCTGAATAATAGCATGTGAATTATGGAAATTTACTACCCAAGGCAGGCTGACTCCTTGTCCTCCAGGCTTGGTATGAATGCTACTTGTTCTGTAGCCCAGGCCTAGTTTAGCTTCAGAGCCCTAGCTACATCTCTACTCAATAAGCTCAGTTATAATAGTGTAGCAAAGGTCTGTCTTCCCTGGCTAAGTGTGTGCTCTGTTTCTCTCCAGTTTTTTCCGGGGAATTTACACCTCAAATCTGGCACAGTGCTCAACACATAGTAGGGACTCTGAGCATTCTTGTTGAATGAGAGTCAACAAATGCATTGATTTCCATGTACCACTGGACAATAAACAGGATCAGGAGGCTCTCTAATCTCAGGAGGCTCTCTAATCCAGCGTCCCCAGGGGACAGCTTGATCTGTTCACTTTTCTGCTTTAAAATGCTAAAAAGTCCCTGTGACCTACAGAATCAAAGCTCTAACCTCCTCTACAAGACATGTAAGAGCCTCCCTGATCCATCTGGCCTTCTACTTCTCAATACCCTCTCCCTCAAGCAACGCCAGATTCCTTGTAACCCCTGTAGCAAGCCAAACTGTTTCTCACCTTTGTGTCTTTGCTCACCCTTCCTTCTGTCTGGGATATTTTCCCCTACCTCCCTTCTCTTGGTTAACTCAGTTAAAGTATCTCCACTTCCAGGAAGGTTCCCGACAGCCCCGTGCCCAACCAAGTGCTCTTCCTCCAGCCTCTCAGAACACCCTGTGCATGTCTGGCAATCTTTACATATCATGCTTCATGATAACTGACCTGCCTTCTCCTGGAAGTTCCTGGAAGGAACTGGAGTTCCTGGGTGGGTGCCTTTAGCTGTCCTTCCCTTTCTAACCATGTTGCCCAAATCAGACATGATCAGCAAAGAATACCTTCCAACTCTCTATGGTTGCTCCTCTAGAGTCACATCTCCCTGGGGTCGTATCTCACATCTTCCTGGTACCATGTAGTTCCCATTTGTCAGCAGTTATGGATGAACCTTGCATGAGGGGCACCTTTTCACCCTGCCCCTTGTGTTCTCCCTTCCCTTGGATGGGCCATGAGTGAGGCTGAGACTCACCTGTCCATAGTTCCAGGGGCAAGGGTAGATCCAGTTCTTGTTCCCTTGGTAGATGAAGCCGTAATCATTCATGACATACTCCTGCCTCTGGGGCTCACTCTCCAAGTAGACAGCATCCCCTAGGAATCAAAGTGGGAGAACACAAAGCAGAAAAGTTATCTAGCTCCTCCTGCCCTATTCTTATGCCCAGAAGGTCGGAAAACTGAGCTCTGAGGAGGAAACTGGGTGACCACAAGAGGGGCAACAAGACCTACTCTCTGCCATTCCTCAACACCAGCAACAGGTGCAATGTGGATATGAGGCGGAAGAGGAAAAAATTATCTTTGGTTGAATTTCTTGGTTTGCAAAGCACACTTATATCCTAGCCCCATTTTAAGATTGAGGAAATAGGCTCAGAGTGATAAATAACTTGCCAAAATCACACATAAGTAAAGGGTGAAATTTGAATACAGCCCATGTGACTCCATGTTCTATGCTTTCTGCCTTACTCAATCTTGGTTGGAAAAGAACAAACCAGAATTTAGGGGTTGGCATTGACATCATCATTCCTTGTGTAGGGCACAAGCTTCAAAAGAGAAGAATCCACCAATGTCATTTTCTTCCCTGCATCTCAGCGGGGGGTCCTCAGTACACGCTGGAAACCCACAGTCTTGGAGGCCAGGAGGTGGGGGCGGGGTGTGTGTATGTGCGTGTTTGTTTGTTTGGGTGGTAGGGCCTCTTCATCTGGCTGATGGGTAAGAGTTCTCAGCCATAAAATAATAAGGCAGTGGGAGGTGGTTAGAGATATTAGAAACTAACCAGGGTTCTGGGTTCTGGCACAACTCAGCAGGCCACTTTGAGATAAGGTTGGTGGTGAAGGGAGGATGAGAGAGAGGAAGGAAGAGGACCATCCTTTAAGTCAGAAGTGAGAACTTGTTGAATTTGGTCCTGCCCCAAATCCCACCAGACCCATTCTTTACTCTCAACTCTTCCTTCCCTCTTCCTTCTCTTCCCTCCTAGCTTGTTCTGTATTCTGCCCATAACATGCGGTAGGTCTAGGTAACTACCTCCAGGTAGATCTAGAGAACAGGGATTGTGGGACAAGTGGTGCTAGGATATTCCCTGTAGCTTTGCTTGTCTAAGACAAAAACTAGAAACAGCCCAAGTGTTCATAAATAGGGAACCAGTTAAAGATATTTGATGCATCCAAGTGGCGGAGTAATTACAGATGTTAAGAAGAATGTACTGATAGGAAAATATGTCCAAAGTTGAATTTTTAGTGGGGAAAAAAAGAGCATGCTAAGTATTAAATAATCCCAATTATGGTATGTATGTACTGTATAATCCCACACACATGCATATATATGCGATAAATACATAGTTGATTAAGCAGAGAACATTTTTGTAAGGCTACACAAGAAAATGTTAAGAGGATTTGGAGATAGGAATAAGGTTTGACTTTTCATCTTTACTTTCTTTTTTGTTTTGCCCTTTACTTCATTTCACAATGAAAAACTCAAGTTAACTTAAAAATGTATGATAAAAATGTATGAAATTTTACGAGTGCCCAAACTTAATTGTAATTGTTTTCCTTTTTAAGTGAATATGACTTTGTTCATAATTTTAAAACTCTAAGTAAGTAAATAAATAGCAAGTTCTCCCTGCTCTGTTTTTTGGTGTTTGGGAGTGGATGCTGAATGCATGGGATTGAGGAGGTCTGTGGATTCCCAGGGAGCAGGGGCACAGAATTCCTTGCTCCTGGCTCTATGTGGCATTGACAAAGGGACAGAGACAAGGGACCCCCACACAGCCACCCTGTCTTACCTGAGCACCAGGGATTGAAGAGTAGAATGAATTCCCCAAGGCGGTAGGCCGTGACAGACCCTTCGAAGGAGTCAATGTGAACCTTCAAGAGGTACCGACCCACAGCCGCCGTGGGAGGAGCATACAGGCTCACCTCCAGGGAGACGGCCTTGTTGGTCTCCAGGGAGGCCATCCAGGGGCTGGGGCTACGATGACCTGACAGACTGAACACAGCCCGAGTCCCCTTGTCCAAGTCTGGCAGCGGTCCTGGGAGGGAAGCAGAGCTGAGGCCCTCTGAGGTAACCTCCCAGCTCCAGGGAACCATCCCCCCACCAATACATACACACCCCTGCATGCCAGCAAGGGTGCTCACCAGTTTCTACCACGAAGATGATGTTGTCCAGGTCTGGCTGGAAGCCCCGGTTCCTGAAGTACAGAATGATGTTGAAAGCCTGGCCCCGGCGAACAACGAGGTGGTCAGAGCTGATCTCCTCTGTGTGGTGCCGCATGTTGTTCCAGGTGCTCTGGAAGTCTGTGACGGACAGCTCCAGCCCTGCAATGGGGCAGCCAGGGGCAGACAAAAGGGCAAGGCTGGGACTGTGGTCCAATCTTGTCCAATCTTGTCTTCCTAGCTGTGCAAACTTGAGAAAGAAGCTTAGCCTCTCTGAGCCTCAGTTTCCAAGTGAGTAAAATAGAATCCATAAAACCAGCCTTATAGGGTTGATATGAGGATTAAATGAGGCTCCGTGCATTCAAGTGCCTCTTTTTTTACTTCTTTCCTCCCTTCTTTCCCTACTTCTCTAACCCTCTAATCTTTCCACCCCTATACCCTCCTGGAGGTGCATGGTTTTCTCTCTCCGTCCAACTCCTTCTAGAGGACTGGCCTAGTTTGGTTGTTCCCTTTAGCACAGTATGTCCCCATATTCAGGCCAGCATCCACTTTCTTGAACACAAGTTGAGTTTTACTTTCCCCTGTACCAGCATCCAGATCTGGTAGAAAGTCCCCAGGCTAGCTGCTTCAGGGTTAACGACCCCTCAGTTAGCTGCTGTGCTTTTAACAATGTGCTGGCTCTCTGACTACCACTAATGCCATGTGCCCAATGCTTTGGGAGCCGTAATCCTGAGGACAGTCAAAGAAAGGCCTGCTGCCAGCCTCCTGGAGCTCCTGCCGAGACACAGACTGACCTCACTGTCCTCCCAGTGCACTGCTCTCAGAAGGGATCTGTTTCTGACTTCTTTGTTCTATCATGGTCCTATCATGGTCCCCAGCCACCTAAGATCACAAACTTTAAGTCACAACTGGCTCACCCATCTTCTCAGTCTATCTCCACTCATATGTCATAAGTCCCTTCAGTCCTTCAATCAAAATATCTGTGGTGTCCATCTGTCCCTTTCCACATTAACATAATTCCTCACTCCTAGTGATGGTAACAGCCTCCATCAGGTCTCCTGCTTCCTGTCTCTCCTCACCGCCCACCCCTTAACACATCACCAGATTAACTTTCCTCAAGACAATTTGACCATTCCATTCTTTTGCTTTGAAAGCTCTGAGATACCCTGCAGCCCACCATACAAAAGGCACATTCCTTAATCTGACATTCATGACCCTTCATACCTGGCCTTAACTTAGACTTGCATTCTCACTTCTCAGCACTCTCAGTATGGGTCTTCCATCCAATCTGTCTTCAAGCAAATGGAGGCCTTACCTGTCCATGCATTTTGATCCTTCTGAAGCTCCAACTCAGAATGCCCCTTAACTATCTAATCAAATTTCACCTGTCCCCTAACAACTGTTCAAGACCTGCTTCTTCATGAATCCTGTCCCAGTTGGCCCACTCTTCCTCCCTTCTTCAACTGATCTATAATATATGACTGCATCACTCATAGGAAACCTTAACTGCTCAATTGACAAGTTAATATGCTCATTTGTTCATTTACATCAACCAACTTTTACTGAGAGCCTACTGGTTTTAGGCTCACCATGAGATATTCAGATATTTTTGTAGTTACTTCTTTGTCTGTCTTCCACCACTAGATTAAACCTATGAGGAGAGAGACCTAGCTGTTTTGTCTCATCTGTATTTAAATTTTAAGAAATATGAACCAAAGCATTTGAAAAAATCTAACCTTCTTTCATAATAAAAATACTCAATAAACTAAGAATAGAAGAAATTTCTTCAACCTGATAAAGGGTATCTATGAAAAACCCACAGCTAACATGACACTTAATACTGAAAGACTAGATGCTTTCTCCCTAACATAAAGAACAAGATAAGGATGTCCACTCTCACCCCATCTATTCAACATTATACTGGAGGTCTCACTAGTATGGCTATAACAAGAAAGAGGGAAGATAACACGTGTTGGTGAAGATGTAGAGAAACTGAAACACTCATACGTTGCTGGTGAGATTGTAAAATAGTGCAGCCACTTTGAAAAGAGTCCAGCAGTGCCTCAGAATGTTAAACATAGAGTTACCATATAACCCAACAATTCCACTCCTAGAGATCCCACTCTTATATCCAAGATATTGAAAATATACTTTCATGGAAAACCTGTACCTAAATGTTAATAGCAGCATTATTTTTAACAGCCAAAAACTGAGAATAACCCAAAATGTCCATCAACTGATTAATGAATGAATTAAATATAGTATATCCATACAATGGAATATTATTCAACCATAAAAAGAAAGGCTGAATACAAGGTCTGTCCAGAAAAATCTAGCCATTGTTAATATAATGAAAATGGCTTGCGCGATATTGATGTAACCTGGCAGCCAAGGACAGTGGACTGGAATGTACATGTGTGAACAACGACAACTTCACTAGTCACTGGGGGTGGTAGACGCTGTTGAGTAAGAATGTGTACTATGTGTCCTTCGCATTCAAAATGACTGAGTAACTAGAGCAATGAATCTGCATAAAATTTTGTGTTAAGCCTGAGCATTCTTCTGCAGAAACTATTTGGATGATTCAGAAGGCCACAACTAGGGGCAACTGGTGATAGGCAGCTTCATCACGACAACACACCTGCTCATGCATCACGTCTCAGGCAGAGTTTTTGGTGAAACATCAAATCCCCCAGGTGACTCAGCCCCCCTACTGCCCAGATTTGGTGCCCTGCGACTTCTGGCTTTTCCCAAAACTAAAATCACCTTTGAAAGGGAAGGGATTTCAGACCATTGATGAGATTCAGGAAAATATGACGGGGCAGCTGATGGAACTGGGAAAACTGTGTGAGATTCCAAGGTACCTACTTTGAAGGGGACTGAGACTTCATTGTCCTATGTACAATGTTTCTTGAATCTTGATCTTCTTCAATAAATGTATATTTTGCATAATAAATGAATGGATACTTTCTGGACATGCATTGTGTACTGTAACATGGATAAAAGTTAAAAACATTATGCAGAGTGAAAGAAGCCAGACACAAATACCACATGTTATATGATTCAATTTATATGAAATATGCAGACTAGACAAATTCATAAAGACAGAAAGTAGATTAGGGTTTAGCAGGGGCAGGGAGGAGGGGAAAATGGGGCATTATTGCTAACAAGTATGGGTTTCTTATAAAAGAAGTATAAACATAATGGTCAGCATATTGTAGGTATTAAAGAATGTTTGCTAGGTTGAATAAAGTTCTCTATCTTTTGCATAACCACCTTGTACTTATTTCAAATTTCAGATTCAATGAATACCTTACCAAGGGCCTGTGTACTATGTGACACGCACTGTCCTAGATACCCTAGGACAGCTTTCCTATTGAAGCCTCCCCACCAGAGCAGAGGCATGAGAAAACCAAGGTTTAGGCAAATTAAATGTCTTGCCCAAAGTTAAACCTAAGGTTACTGGCCCATGACCTATACTCTTTCCATTACCCAACAGCTGCCGCCTGTTGCTGGCCTCTTTTCATGTTCAGAAAGGACATACAACACACTGCCAGCTGGGAAAACACATGGCTTTTTCCTGGTAGTGGAAAAGATGCTCATTTCTTTTGGAGACCAATTGACTAGACAGAGCTTGCTAACTGGCCCTGATTCAGGCTGGGCACATGACCCAAACTACTCAACAGGAGCAATAGCAGCAGACCAACAGCAAGCAGGGGGCCAAAGCTCATCCTTCTGGATACGTCCTGGGTCAAGTTAATATCTTCAGCCCAGGCACCAGATATTCAAACAGGAGGTTCATTTAACATTGGGCATATTTGTTCTTGATATGCAGAAAGAATGGGGTGAAGTGATCAGTAAAATAGAAAGAAAATTAAAGGAAGGACTTCAATTATAAAAATAATTGAATAACTTCAATTTTAAAAATAATTGATTTTAATATCCATCCTAGAGAGATAATCTCACACAAGCACAAAGAGGCACAGATAAGAATATGCACTTAAGCCCTGGCTGGTGTGGCCAATGGATTGAGCGCCAGCCAGTGAACTAAAGGGTCGCCAGTTTGATTCTCAGTCAGGGCACAAGCCTGGTTTGTACGTTAGGCCCCTGGTGAGGGTCACACGAGAGGCAACCACACGTTGATGTTTCTCTCCCTCTCTTTCTCCCTCTGTTCTCCTCTGTCTAAAACTAAATAAAATCTTTTTAAAAAATAAATTTTAAAAAAGAATATGCACTTAACATTGCTTGTAAAACTGAAAAATGGGAAACAACTTAAATACCCATCAACAGAGGACTGGATGAATAAATTACTTATATCCATAATATAAAATACTATGCAATGTAAAAAATATTGAAAATCTATAGGTACTGAGTGGCATGGAGAGAACTCCAGGGCATACTTTTGAGTGTCAGGTTATAGAAAAATATGTACAATATGATTACACCATAGATGTACAAAAAAAAGAAGCCACACATGCTAATACTATGTATAACATTGAGCATATATATGAATATAAATATATAAACAAAAGACTGGAAACAGTGGTTTCTCTGGAGATCAGGCTGGGTGTGGGCTGTCAATAAGGGAATTATAGCTATAACTGTAATTATTGCTTTATTTTAGTTCAACTATCTATTGATATATTTCTTGTGTAATTGAAAATTATAAAATCTTAACACAAAATAAAAATTTAACACAAAACAATAAATGAAATAATGTTGTTATGTACATTTGTAGAGCTTTTAGCTTATTCTTATGATTTCAACTAATCTTTTGTTCTTTGTAACAGCTCTTCTCGAAAGAGGAAGTTGATACAGATAGAAGAGTAATGGTGGAAAAATTAGCTAAGATGAGGAAGAGATCTTCTGAAGTAGGAGAAAAAGAAAAGATGAAGGTTCAGAGACTTCTGAAGAGAGAAGACAACTTCAAGATTGTCTAGTCCGACCCCCCTCATTTTTTAGGCATGGAGGCTGGGAACTACAGAAGTGACTTACTCAATGTCAAAGGGTCAGCTAGTGGGAAAAGACAGAAACCCCAACCTCCTAATTCCTGTTCCTTACCCCTCACACCAGACTATGGAAGCAAGGATGTTGTTGTGCACCTCTTTGGCTGTTTACCTGCTGCCATCTACCTGTCTCCTGGTTCTCGGGCTACCAATGAATTCTGAGGTTCCTGGAGTTTCTACTCTTTCTGCCTCTGTTCTTCATTCACTCCTTTCTTCCTCTGAACGCTCCATCTCTTGACTTCATAAGCCTCTCATCTTCCTTGTCCCTGACCAGCAGCCCCTTGAACCTACCCTACCTTGTGCCATGGTGGCTGCCTCCGGTGCCCCCACTGCTCCCCACACAACAGCAGGATGGCCTGGAGCTTCAGGAAACTGGTCCTGGAGTGTCTGCTTCCCCTTCCATCCCCAACACTCTAGGAGACACTTAAGGCAGGGCTGAATGCTGCACAGCGACTTGCTTACTGGGCAGATCCCAACTGGTTTTCTCACTTGCCCTCCAGTTTTTCTTGGCAGTGTTCCTTGGCTAAGACAAAGTGTCATGGCCAAGGATCTGTCAGGGCCTTAGGCTATGTGGGCCTTTGCTAGCTCTTGGGCAATGGGGTATTCTCTGGTGGCTGCTGTGCTGTGCTGTGGTGAGGGAGTCAGGTGGGAGAGGTAAACTAATAGGGCTTCTGGAGATGTGAAGAGAGGCTGCACCCCTGCAGAAAGGAGTATTGGGGCCCCAAGACTGCAGTTCACAACTGAAACCCAACCCTAGAACTCTTCTTGGCACCTGAGCCCTCTCTCTAATCCTAAAGAGTCACTTCCAGGACATCAAATGCAACTGAGCCCATTCTGGATCACTTTGGTATGATTTTTTTGGTATTTATTTTTTGGCAGAGGTATTGTCTTGGGTGAGACCTGCCAGGTCCCAGGTGACTTACAAATAAAAGCAACAGAGGAATAAAACTTGGGAAGGTGTGTGGAAGAGTTTTGGAAATAGATGAGAGAATGGGATGCTGGCGAGTGGCCTTGATTCTAGTGAGAAAAGTACCAGCCCTTGTAGTGAGCATGTGAGGAAGAAAGGAACTGATGGGAGAAGAGAGACAAAGGAGGGTGGGGCTCTTAATGGGGAGTGGGTGGGGCGCTGTGAACCTTCCTGCAACCTCATCCCCCCTTTATTTCCCTGCTGTGGGACACTTCTCCCTGTGTCCCCTTGCTTTCTGGGTTCTTTGTCCTCTCTTCTCAGAAACCCCAGTCAACAGCTTCTATCTTCTCTCCTGTATTTTTAACTCTCTGTCCCCAATCATATTTTAAAGTGTGTTTATACATGTTCATATAGAATTCACTGCTTAACACACCCTCACCCACCTTCAATCCAGAATGGAATTCCTCTCTCTCCTTCCTCCTGAATCTCTGGTCTTAGTGAGTGAGGATAGTGCTGACCTAGTCACTCTGGGAGAAAACTGGCTACCACCTCATTCTTCTCCATCTTCCTGACTTCCCTTAGCCCATCAGTCACTGAGTCCTGTCCAGTCCAACTCCTGAATCTCTCCTAAAACTGGCCCTTCTTCTCTTGCCCTTGGCCCTTCCTTCACTGAAGCCTCCCCTTGCCTGGACAATAGTTCCCAACAAGCCTCCCACCCATCCTTTTCCCAAATGAGTCACCAAAGTGGTTTATCTGAACTGTCAATTCGGCCAGGTTGCTTAATATCCAACAGGTGGGTAAAGTACAGACTTGTCAACGTCAGCCCCAAAGCCATTCAGGATCTTTCCCTCCCCACCTGAGCCCAGGCAGGCCAACCCCTTCAGTTATGCGATGGAGACCTGCTCTTCTGCACCTCTGCATTCTCGCCTGAGTTGGTCTCTCTCTTTTTGAAATGTTCTCACACTTGTCTACTTTATTGTATCCAGACTCAAACATTACCCCTGGGAAACTTTTCCTGACTCTATCTCTTCCACACCAGGTTTTCAGGGCTGCCCCCTTTTGTGTTTCCTATCAGCTTAACGATACTCCACATTATAAACACTCACCTATCTTACCCCCAACCCTACTAAACGCCATGGCCTGTGGCTTGCTGATATATCCCCAATGCTTAATAACGATAGTGGCTAACAGTAGAAATAGTAAATAGCTTTTACATTCCAGAAGTTTTACTTCTTTATGTGCATTATCCCACCTAATTTTTATACCATCCCCATGAGTTGGGTATTATTATTGCTCTTATATTACAAATGAGGAAGTCAAGACTTAAAGACATTAACTAGTTTCCCCAAGACACTCACTAAGAACTGGTGGAGCCAGATTTGGACAAAGACAGTCAGACTCCAGAGTCCTGTGTAAGTGCTTGATGCAGTACCTGGAGCATGGTTGGTTTTCCAGTTCCTATTTGTTGACTCATGGATAGAATGAATTCAAAGATGACCCATGTGTGAACAAATGGGTAAAGGCCCAAACCCATTGTCACACTAGCTGAGATGGAAAGGAGAAAGAGACATGGACAGGTGAGCTTAATTGTGGGGGGAAACCGGAAGTGAGTGCAGTTAAGATGGGCAGGTCTGGAGAGGTGCTTATTTCACCGCTGGGCTGGGGGCTAATGAGCTGACTTACAGAGTCAGCCTGTCATTTGATTCTTACAAACCATTAGTGGGAGGGAGTGTGCTGGGGGACAGAGGCAGCTCTGATCAGACAGCTTGTCTCTTGGTCCAGAGTCAGGGAGGCAGAGGAGAGTTAGGGAAGCTGAGGAGAGTGGATGAGTAGCTTTCTGTGTGAACAAAAACAAGGCTGTGATTCACAAGGAAGGAGCACAGAGCAGGTCCTAGGACACTCAAGTGGGAAGGTTTGGAGGCACCTGTCATCCCTGAGGCAGGCTAGCTCTAGCAAGGTGGGGGTGGGGAGCCTCCAGACCCTTAAAAGACTCAGAGACGAGGACCCTAATCCTGGTACTGCCATGAATTGCTGGCGTGCCATTAGGCAAGTTCCAGCTTCCTCGTCTGTAGAATCGGGCAGGGTTCTTGGCTCCATGGGTGCTCAGGTCTGAGGAAAGGGTGGGGAGGTTCCCCACAGACAACTGCAAAGGGAAGCCAGAGTTGGAAGGTGCAGGTGGGTTCCTTTGCCTCCTTCCCCTTTCCAGCCCCCGAGGCGGAGGCAGTCACCCAGGAGAGGTGATTAAACCGATCCGAGGACCTCTGCCCATGAGTGCACATCACCATTTGCGAAGCTCTTTAGGACCCACTTTCTCATTTGGTCCTCACTGCAACCCTCTGAGGGAGGGGAGGGCTGTCACTGCTATTATTGTTATCATTTTACAACTGAGGAAGCCATGGTCACACCGTGAGGGAGCCAGAATTCTGTCAAGAGCTCTTTGCCTTGAATCACACAATGACACTGAATAGCAGAGAGACCCCGAAACTACCAGCCAAAAGGATATGAGGACAAGGTCTCTGTGAAAGCCACAGAGGATGAAAGACCAGCACTCATTCGACAAGGGTGCTGGCCTGGTTTGTGCCTCCTTGCTCTACAGCCTGAAAATTTCTTTTGCCAGAGTTTGTCTGTGGGCACAACCGCCTGGCCCGGTGGCCCTGCTGGTTTGTTGTGAGAGGGTGGTGGGGCGGGGGGATGGCGAGGACAATGAAGCAGAGCGGCTCAGACCCTACCCTCAGGGTGCTCAGTAGCAGTGGGCATGAACCCTGGTGTCCTAGGCCCTGGGATGTCAGAGCTGGAACAGGGCTGAGACTGTCTAGCTCTTCCAACCCAGGTAGGGAAATGAGGCCAGCCAGGCTTGCCTACATGAAAAAAAGAAAAGAAAAAAACATAAAAGAGCACATTTTTAAAGCCAATTTTTAATTGGGGAGGGAGGAAATATTTGAAAAATCAACTGGGAAGTAAGAGATGGCTAATATCCCATGCCCCTGGGAGGCCCAGTAGAGCCTGCCCACAGTGACAAAAGTGACACAGCCAAGGAGCTTTGCATCACCAGGCAGGAGGGGCAGACCCACCACTCTGTAGATGGAGCAAGATTTCAGATTTCCTCTAGGAGCCAGCCCAGTTCCAGGTCTTCTGTGGGCGGGCAGGGAGACACCTGCAACGCAGCAGTGACAAAGCTGTGACAGAAACCCATAGAAATGCCCATGGCACTTAATGGGGACAGGTGCAGCTGCACACAGGGTGGAGTGTGGGTGTGCAGGCTCCTGCTCTTCCTGCCCGAAGCAGCCTGTGAACACAAAATAAATCCAAAACAGAAGGGAGGAGGGAGGGAGGGAGGAGAGAGGAGCCAAGGGAACCTACAGAGTTGCTGAGCAAGGGAGGAGTGGAGGAAGAAGCCATGCCCGAGAATTCACAGGAGGATGTGCTCCTTCTCTGCGTTTCTGGGTGGCCTCAATTTTCCATGATGGAGACGTGTCAATCTGTAGTGATCACTTTATTTTTTTTATTGAGTTATAATCGACACACAGGATTGTGTGAATTTTAGGTATACAACATGTTCATCTGATACACTCAAAGCAATATGATTACCACCATTAGTTACATCCCCACCACATCACATAGTTATTTCTTTTTTTGTGGAGAGAACATTTAAGATCTGGTATCTTAGTAACTTTGAAGTACATATATAATACAGTATTGTTAACTGCTACATATATTATACCAATGCTGTACATTAGATCTCCAGGACTTATTCGTCTAACTGGACATTTATATATGTTAACCAACATCTCCCCATTTCTCCCATCCTCAGCTCCTGGTAACCACCCACACTGTTTCTACGAGTTCAGCTTTTTTAGATTCTACATACAGACACACTTTATTTTATTGTGATTTGTTTGACGGAGCTTCACAGATGTTCCATTCTTTGCAAATTGAAGGCAAGTCCCTCTACCAGCAAAGAGATTACGACTTGTTTTATTGTGCTCTAGCTATCAAGTGCTTCCCAGTTATCAAGTGCCCAGCTGTCCCCATGTTCTCAGGCCAGCAGCAGAGAAGCCCCACTGGGCAGCTTCTGTCCAGCCCCATAGCACTGCAGTCACAGTCCTCCTCAGGCCTCCTTCTAGCGTCTGCCCGCAGGCTAACAACTTAGTGAGGACACTGTGATCCTTGATTCCGGAGAGGCTGAATTAGAGGGATCATGTTGAGCTTTTTTTGCATGGTCCCTTAAAGGAGGAGAGAGAAGACAAGGACAGGGAGGGCCCACCTGTACAGCAGGCAGCCAAGAGGACAAGCTGGTAGCAATAAGTATCTTGTTAGTACAGAAGACAGATCACCAGCGATTGATCAAAGACATCTTTATTGTCTCTTCCCAAGATGTAGAGTGGTTCTAACGGAGCTACATTCACCCCCAGGCAGGCAGGGAAGAGGAGAGAGAAGGAGCAACTACACCTTCAGGAATAAGGTGGGAATAAGGGGACTGGGAGGTCATGGGGGCAGAGGAAGGACCAACCGCAAGAGATGAGGGAAGGCATCAGAGGGGTAGAAGGGGTTACTGAGGGGGCATCAGGAAATTGGGCCAGAGGAGGTGGAGGGCCTGAGATGAGGGTGGTGGTCAAGAAGCCCTGGCTGCAGCTACGAAGATGTCCTTGTAACCCTTGATCTCCTTGACTTCGTTGCTGCTGATGAGGACTTGCAGCTGGCGGGGTCCAGCTTTGAAGGGATAGAGGTCCAGTTGAATTTGGATGCTGTATCCAGCCACCAGAGTTCCAAGGCTGAAAGTAAAAAGGAGCTCGTTAGAGCCTTGAGGAGTAACTGGAGGGAAGGGCCATCTGGGTTTCCCCTTTGGTTGGTAAGCACTTCCCACATCCCCACTCCAGAGCCAACCTTCCCTGAGAAGGGTAGACAGATGGGTACACAGAGGCACCATCCAGGAGACTGAGGACTTTCCTATGACCCCACAAGGAACCCCCTGTAAGAGATCAGCATGACAGGTGAATAGCAATGGCACTTACTCATTTGATAACTGCCCATGGATGAGGCCACTTCCCTCTAGCACCATTGTGCAGTGACTCAGAGCCACTGTTCGGGTGTTGGTGAGGGTGATGTGGACTCTTAGTGCTTTGCCCACCTCAGCCCTCTCAGAGACCTGGGTGGGGAGAAGACAGGGCTATTGTGGGCAACTGATCTCATTTCTCCACCCCAGTAACCTCATTCCCCCATCCCTCTGTTGACCACCAGCGACTACTTATTTAGAGCTAAAACACTGCAGTTGGGAGAAAAGAATATGAGATGAGAGATTCCAGGTTAACACACACCCTGGCCTATCTTAGAAGGAAACCACCATCAGTTGGAAATTGGCGCTAAGCTGAAATCTGTTTCCCTCTCTACCATCTAGTTCAGAATGGCAATTAGATCTCAATTTAAGTGCCAGCTCCAATCTAATCGGAATGGTGTGTTAAAAAGAAACACATCCATTTCACTCTAATGAAGATGTCAAAGCAGGACGGGTAAAAATAACTTGGAATCCAGCATAGTCACACAAATCATCCCGATCCCTTACCAATGGGGACCAATAAATAACCTAGTTGGCATCTGATGTGTTTGCATCGGATCCTGTTGAACCAGGCTTCAGGTAATAGGCAGGGCTCTCACCCAGGTACCAGGTTGACTGCTTGTGATTCTGCCCACTGTGTGTGAAGGCTGCCTGAGATCACATGGCCTGGCAGCATGCTCAGGTGAAAACCAGCAGGTGACCCGGTGGTTTGTGACATGGAGTCACTCAATTCTCATTCTGGGTGGGGATGGGGTGTGCTGTGGGGAAGCTACTGGGTGCAAAGCCAGGTTGTGACTAGGCTTAGGCAAACTCTTTTAGAGTAGGAAGGGAAGGTGGGGGAAGGAGGCTTCAGGGAAAGGAAACCCTGGTAACAGGAGATGAGGAACATCCTTCTCTTCTCCCTTTATCCTTCCTTCACCTGTACTCCCTTCCTCATCCAATGGCCTTGCCAGCCTGTCAGGCATCTGAACTCGAAATCTAAGGCTCACCTTTCATTTGTTTCCCTCTTCCTTGTCACCCCCATCTTATCAGCATTCACATTGTGAGTTTGACTGGTGGTCTCTCTCAAATCTCTCTCCTCAACTCCCTCTCCCAGTCATGGCCTTTCTTGTCTCTGCCTCTGCAAAGCTACTTCCTTACTTAAAATGCTTTCATCTCTATCTTATACATCTATAGGAAGTCTTCCTATATCCTACATCCCATTTGAATCTTCTGTAAAATGTCGCCTCCTCTGGGCAGCCTTCATGCTCTGTCTTGCACTTTGCACAGAGCACAAAAGACCACAGCATATTGTGCTTTAATCATCCACTTGGTGCCGGGACCGAGGCTCCCTCTGTTGCTTCTGTACTCCCAAACCCTGGGCTGGATGAGTGAGAGGACCCCTGGCCTGGGCCTCAGCAGTATCCAGACCCCTTACCTCAATAGATAAGTGGGGAGGCTCCAGAGAGATGTCTTTTAGGACCAGTATGGACCTCCCCGTCCCCTCCACCTCAGCGATGCCAGAAACGCGTATCAGCTTTTCATCTGTCAGCTTGTTTCTGTAATTGTTGTAAGGTAGCAAGAGCGGCCACTGTATCTCTAAGCACAGACAAAAGACATCTTGAGTCTGGGGGATGGATCTCAGAAAGAGAGCAGGTAGGAGGAAATGTGTGTGAGAGGAAAAATTAGTTTGGGTGTGAGGAGGAATAAGTGTGTGAGTCTAGATGTGTGTGTGGAAGTGCTCGTGTGTGTATGTAGGAGAGAGACAGCAGGCTTACCCTGCTCCTGTTGCACACAGAGGTTGCTGCTATGTTTCACCTGGTGGGATGTTATTAGAAGTACAACACTTGGCATTCAACTTCCTACCAACAGCAGCTTCTGCCCAGTGAGTGTGTGTGTGTATGTGTGTATTGGGGAGATATGGGGGTCTCTGTGTGATCTCGCTGGTCCAGCCCAGCTCTCTTCATGGCCCCAAAGTCCCCCTCCCTCCCTCCTTGTAGATAACTTCTCAGGCCTGCCTCATACTCACCCTCCCCAAAGTCCAGGTTCAAGTGCACTATTTGCCTCCAGAAGGGCTTCCGTGTTCCACCCTTGTGTAGCAAGGCCTGTGCGCAGAAGCGCACCTCCAGTCTGATGGGACCCTGGGGATGGGCTCTGTTTGGCACCCTCTTGGCATGCAGCTTTAGCAGCAGGTCCTGGCCCCACTCCGGTGTCCTGGCCAGGTGAAGCTGCAGCTGTGCTGGCTGATCCCGAAAGCCCTCGGACCCCAGCAGATCCAGGAAGTGTGAAGAGGCCCTTCTTGAGCCCAGCATTTTCCTGGATGCCTTCATGAACACAGACCGCTCCTCAGGGGATCCTGGCAGAAAGGAGAGACAGGAAAGACATCAGTGGAAGGGGCTGAGGGGCCAATGACCTTCTTTGCCATCAGACAACTCCCAGCTCCCCTCCTGAATCCCTAACCACAGGAATAGCTACATCAGGAGGCAATGCAGCACCATGGCTGAGAACATGAGGATTGGTATTGCTTGGTGCTGGATTTAAATCCTTCATCTGTCATAGTCTTTTAATCTCTCAGAGTTTAGTTGTCATCCAGAACCTGGGACTATCTGCTTGCCTCATAGAGTTGACAAAAATTTGGGTTAAATGAGTGGTTCTTTGTGATCAATATTGCCACTGTTGTCACTATCATCATCATCAATTCCAGAGGCTTCTCTACCCCACCAGCATCCTCACTTCTAAAATATATGTTTGAGGCCCTGGCTGGTGTGGCTCAGTGGATTGAGTACTAGCCTATGAACCAAAAGGTCACCGGTTCGATTCCTTGTCAGGGCACATGCCTGGCTTGCAGGCCAGGTCCCTGGTAACGGGCCTGTGAGAGGCAACCAACTGATGTTTCTCATGATCATCTGTGTTTCTCTCCTTCTCTTTCTCTCTCCCTTACCCTCTCTCTGAAAATAAATAAATAAAATATTTAAATGTATATGAATACACACACACGCACACACACACACACATGCTCAAGCCTTTTCAATAGAGCTTCATCTCTTACCCCTAGGGGTACTTGACATTCTGTCTTATCTCCAACTCACCCCAAACTGTGGGCCTCTCTAGAACATTTGCTGAGCACAAGAGCCCCTGTTGCAAGTAGTTTCTGTGTATTAATTCACTAAACCCTCACAACAGCCATTTGAGACCATGTAAAATGGGTTAACATTTTACAGATGAGAAAGTGGAGGCATGGGGATGATAAGAATGTGCCCAGGCTTACACAGCTAGAACATAGCAAGCCCTTGATTAGTACTCAGGCAGCCTGACTCTACTCTGGCCTTCTCCATGGGGACGTCTACTCCCTTCCGCAGGCCCGGGAGCCCTTTCCCTCCTTGAGCATCTGCCTCTCCCTTGCTGCCACCCCGACTGCCATGACAGGAATCTGTGATGTGACTCCAAGATAGAGTTGTCAGGTAAAACCAAGGACATTCAACTAAATTTGAAATTTAGATAAAAAACAAATAATTGTTATTATAAAAATGTCACATGCAGTATTTGGGACATTACTTATACTAATAAAATATTTGTTGATCTGAATTGATCTGGAATTCAAATTTAATGGGGCACCCTGTATTTTTATTTGCTAAATCCAGCAATCCTGCCCTGGGGCCACATGATCAGGGGTCAGGAAAGCCCTGGGAGTTTGCCATGAGGAAGTTTTTATGTGGTGATGATTTTAATGTGGGACCTATCCCCACTGGGAGGCAACACAAAGGAGGTTATACCCACCACCCTCCCCAAATCCCCCAAGCCCCAGGTACCTTCTGGGTACTTGTAGAAGCTGGTGATGTTCTGGTTCTGGGCTGATCCTACCATCTTGGTGCTGATGTTATTCCCAATGGAACTGGTGTTATGGGCCAGGATTTCCTGGGCCTGGCCATCCCCAAAGAGCCAAATGACTTCATCGGCATTCACCTCAGCGTACACAAATGGGGTGTCATAGGGCAGGTGGACCTCCCCTTCCCTGATGGCCTTCACAGAGGCAGGACCACAGCAGAACAGCCCTGTGCAGGGAACAGGAGTTGTGGACGTCTGTCATGGCTGCTGACACGTGGACCAGGGCAGCTGGTCCTGTTTGTAAGAAGTAAGGAGATGGGATAGGAAGAGGCAGTGGCATTAATGCCACTCTGCAATCCCCATTAATTCAACTGATTCTTGCAGCCATCCCATGGAGCCACAGTTAGCATCATCCTCCCCACTTTGAAGGGAGGAAGCAACTGAGAAGTCACCTTGTCTGTCAAGGTCAAAGTCAGACTCCTGACCCAAAGTTGTCCCTGCTTTGACTTTGGGAAGAGGATAAAGTGGGAAAAGTACCTCTTCTTTCTGGCCTCTTGCTCAGGTGGTTTTGGTCTTTCCATGGAGCCCAGACCCTTCCATGGTGGTCCTCACTCACCACTGCTGGTTTCCTGGGGAGTGGGATCCAGAACCTGCCACCCGTTGTATCCTGGTGGGAGATCTTTCCGGATCATCCAGCATTCATTCCAGACATGGAAATTCCTACAGAAAGGACTCACATTTTCAGCAGATTTGCTAGGTATGAGACACTGTACTAAGTGCTTGATGTCATTGTTGTTGTTTCTTCTTCTTCCTCCTCTTCTTCTGAAGTAATTCCAAGCTTACAGTAAAGTTACAAAAATAGCGCAGAGAGCACCCACATACCCAATTCATTGATTGTTAACATTTTGCCCCATTTGCTTTATTGTTAGCTTTCTTTCAGTATGGATATGGAGATTATACCTTTTTTTTTTTTACTTCAATGCATGTTTCCTTAGAATAGGGACCATCCTTTACATAATTTATCAACCTCATATGTTTAATATTGATACAATACTTTAAAAATCTAATTTGTTGTCTATATTTCAATTTTGTCCATTGACCTAATAACAGTTATCTTTGCAGGGGTGTCCAATTTTTTGGCATCTCGGGGCCACACTGAAAGAAGAACAGTTGTCTTGAGCCACACATTAAATACACAAACACAAATGAAACCAAAAGAATCTCATAACGTTTTAAGTAAATGTATGATTTTGTGTTGGGCCGCAATCATAGACATCTTGGGCCGTGGGTTAGACACACCCCTGCTTTGTAGCATTCCTTTCCATCCAGTCCAGAATCACACATTGCATTTAGTTGTCCAGTATCCCTTGTCTCCTTATTCTGGAACAGTCCCTCAGCCTTCGTTTTATTACATTGAAATTTGAGTAAAGTGTTTGTTTTACTAGAGTGACTCTCATTTTTGGCTTCTCTGGTGTTTCCTCATGATTAGATTTAGGTTAGGCAATCACAGAATTCTACATGAGCAATACGTTCTCCTCAGATACCTATTTTGTTTTCTTTTTTTAAAAAGATTATATTTATTTATTTTTAGAGAGAGGAAAGAAGAAAGAGAAGGAAAGAAAGAGAAACATCGTTGTAAGGGAGAAACATCAATTGGTTCCCTCTTGTACACTCCCAAAATGGGGACCAAACCTGCAACCCAGGCATGTGCCCTGACTAGGAATTAAATTGGTGACCCTATGCTTTTGCAAAACAATGTCCAACCAACTGTGCCACACCAATCAGAACCACCCCTGCTTCTTGAATCTGAGTACTTCCGGCCCTAGGAACTCAGAGAAGGACAGCATCTAGGGTCTTACCTGGAAATAGGATGGAAAAGGAAAAACAGGAAATCAGATTTGGGGTAAAGCAGAGGAGAAAGGAACCAGGGAAAGAGACCAGAGATCCAAGAATAAAGGGACACACAGAGATACACACACACTCATGCACACTCATGCACACACACAGAGTGGGAGTGAGGCAGGGAGAAGAAGAAGTCAAGAGAGACTGAAGGAAGTATACAGAGGTAGCTCTCCTAGGCTTTGGCCTGACAGGGAAACAGAGAATGGTGTAAGCAGAAAGACCCAAAATAAGAAGAGTAAGATGAATGCAGATTTTGAGGTCGGTATTCAGAGGTACAGTCTATTCATTTGCTTGCCAGCTTCAGAATGTTATCCCATAGTCTTCTATCTCTGAAATGAGTTTGATATGATGATCTAATTAGCCAGAACAGCCTCCTGGGTTGGGAACTTATTCTCTGAGCATCAGCAACAACATACAGGGCAAAACTGCCTCACAGCAAGAGGGATCTAGGTCAAAGTTTTCCTACCTTATTTGGGGAATAGCAGGTATCTGTTCAAGACAGTGCCCCTTACCATATTTTGTCTCGTTTCAGAGTTGACAGCATTTCTGCATTTCGGTCATAGTAGGTATCTATAGTTAAGTTCCCATCCACGTTGTGTGCAGAACGGAAATTGGAAACAACACGGGTTGGAACACCTAAACATCTCATTACTACAGAGAAGAAAAGAATGCAGAATCAGAATTCATTTCAAGATGAATCACTGGTATCCCAGGTACTTTCTAACTTTCTTGCTGGAGGAGAAAGAGAAGGCCAACATTCTTGCGGATCCATACTTGTAACTCCTTCATCCTTAGAACACCACACCCAGGTCCAAAACTTTGCTGCCTACCTGCCCTATTGATGGTCTCCATCCACCAGGAGGAAAAAAAATCATTTCAGGGTCACTTAAAACAACATTTAATAACTCCATTTATCATTTAGGGTTTTTCCCATTCATCAGGTTTCCAAATTAAAAACAGAGGATTTAGCCCTGGCTGGTATGGCTCAGTTGACTGAGTGCCAGTCTGTGGACTGAAAGGTCATTGGTTCGATTCCTGGCCAGGGCACATGTCTGGGTTGCAGGCCAGCTCCCAGTTGGGGGGTGTATGGAAGGCAACCAATCAATGTATCTTTCACACAATGATGTTTCTCTCCCTCTCTTTCTCCCTCCCCCCTTCCCCCTCTCTAAAAGTAAATAAATAAAAAATCTTTTAAAAAAAAGAGGATCTAAAACATTTTATAATTCAAAAGAAAATGCAAGAATGGAAGTCTATGTTGTGACCAGTTTCAGAAGAGAAGCTGTGTGACCTTAGGTAAATGGCAAAACTTGTCTAGCCCTTAGTCTCCTTGTATGTAACAAAAGGAGGAACTGGACCAGATGACTTTCAGTTCTGGAATTCTGTATCTGTAATTCTATTGAAAGACAAGGGTTTGGTGGAGGTAAGAAACAAATCCCAGAATGGATAGAGGAGCGAGATAGTCTTACAAAGGGAATGTGCAAGTACAATGAGGCAATAACCATCTTTGTTAAGGCAACATCATCCTCTTGTGGCTGTGAAGATAGTTCTACACAGGCTTTTTAAAGGTGAGTTAAGATTTCACAGATCTACTCACACAAAGTGGACGTTATACCATGGCCATCATCACTAATACACACACATACGCACACCTGCCCAGGGCCAGATGAAATGAAGCCCAGAGCCAGGTGTGACAAAGGCAAGGAGTTTAGAGGGAGGTCATCCCACACCTCTCCTGTTTGGGAGGAGCAGGCGGTGCCTACTGCAGCTGCTGGGAGGATTATAGTGCTTTGAAACATAAGAGGACTACTGAGATGGACCAGTCTTATTTGTTTCTATTCATTCAAGAACCCCAAGGAGCACCACTTGTCTGCAATCAGCTGTCCACTCCCAGCACAGCTCCTGGGCTTTTCACAAACCCTTAGCAAGGCTGAAAGCTGTACCAGGGCTACAAGTGGCCAGACGCAGCTTGACAGAAGCAGCTCCGCCCTCGCTCAATGGTCCCAGAACTCTAGGGCTTGGGAGTGGGGGCCGGCTTAGAGGTGGAGCAGGAGCACAGTCCTAGACCTTTTCCTTCTCGTCCCAGGGTCTAACAGCCCAGGTCCTCCTCCATAATATCAACCTAGCCACCCCAAGGGTAAATTCAACTCTACTAAATGCTGGCAGTGTCCTGAGCATTCTCCACTGAAAACAGATGATTGACATGAGGTCGCTTGATTTGAACACTCAGATTTAAAACTCTCCTGTCGCAGCACCTATACATAATGGCCAAGCTATGCTGATCCTTGCAGAAAAATCTAGAACTTCGTCTCCGTCTCCTGTTTTTGTCCTTCCCATTCTGTGCTTCCTCATTCTCCAACCCAGAGTCAGCCCGTGAGTTCAGCCGACATTTACGGAGCCTCACAGCGTAACGTGCAGCACTGTGAAAGGCGCTCCTGCCTTGCACTGGGGGAGACAGGCAGGCACCTCAGTAGTTTCCATCTTCCCTCATCATTACAGATAACCTGATCAATGACTTTGCACTAAATTATAAATAACTGACAATGCATAAAACAGCAATTCTCCTTAAGGGTAGTTAGCAAAGCCACAAATCTCTAATGGTAACTCCTCAAGAATCTTTCTGAAAAGTATTTGGGAGCTACCAGCTTTGCCTACAGGTGAGATCTGCTCTCCCTGACCATATACTTGCACCTCAAGCTTCCCAAACCTGTCCTGACTCCAGGCTCACCTTGAACTGAGAAGCCTGAGTAGGTGGCAGAAAGAAGCTCCCTTAAGGAAACTGTGGAGTGATTATAACCGGCCAACCTCCCTCCTGGGTGAATGGGCAGGACTCCTCAAGAACACAGAGCATGCTGGTCAGACCTGAGTGCCCACCACTCCTGAGCTATGGGCAAGCCACAGTTAACTCATGTGAAAATGGAAACGTCAGAGTCCAACCTCAACGGGTTATCATGGAGAGTAAATAAGTGATTCTGCATTTCTATCTCCCTTCACTCACCTGTGCACATAACACCCGCAAAGACCCAGCACTGTCCATATTTCACAGGCTGCCCGCCCCTGGCTGACCACTGCCGCAGGATGGCCACGCTGCCATTCCACTCCAGCGGGCTGACCCCCAAGGAGTAGTCCTCTCCCCAGTTCCCCTGCAGCACACCGTTGTCATCGTTGCTGTTGATCTGCAAAGGACAGATGGGTGGGTTTCCACAGGGCCTACGGGAAGCCCAGACCACCCTCTGACAGGGGCGTGGAAGCCTCTGTCCTTACCATGGCGCTCACCACCCTGCAGATGTACACCACGTCATTCCTCTGGGAGTAGTCTTTGGATGGGTTCTCTAAGAAATACAGGCTCTTGTTCAGGATCTCAAAGCAGATATCTATGATGTCCTCTTCAAACTTCCAAGTGATTGCAAGGGAGAAAAAAGAAAGAAGAGTAAAAATGTCTGGAATACTGAAACTTCAGGTAAGTCACAGACTTTTAGGGAAGGTGTATGTGGGGGTGGGGCTAAATATCAGACAAAGTTCTGCCTTCAAAGAGCTTATAAATCAAAATGGGAATTCAGAAAAACTGACCTGTGTGGCTCTGATGGAAAACGCAAAGAGAATTCAGAGAGATGAAAGATCCTCGTTGACTGAAGAGATCAGAGAAGGCTATTGTTGCTGGTGGGCTTTGAAAGGTGAGGTAGACAGGAGAGAAGAGGGTGAGGTCTTTGAGCATGGTGGGTACCTGTGGCGGCTTGGAGAGTCTCGTTTTGGAGGACTTGTGGGAGAAGTTCAGAGAGAGAAATATAGGGCAAGGCATGTGAGGAGAGAGAGAGGAGCGTGGAGAACTTTAAGATCAGGTGGAGGATTCAGCACTGCTGTCAGCACCAAAGAAGCCAGGAAGGCTCATGCCATTTGTTTGCAACATATATTTGTGACATGTCACAACCCTTTGGGTTGCCAAATGCACTGGTATTTGTCTCAGTTTCAAAAAACTATACAAGTTGTCACAGTTGGAGGCCAGGGAAGCTGATCTTCTTTAATAAGGCTCCCTACTTCCCCCAATTCCTCCCTCTTGGTATGTGGACTGAGAGAAGCTACACCAACCACGGTTGGTGGCTGAGAGTGGAAAAGCTCCCCCAACCCCTGCCCCCCTGCTGTACACAGACTAGATATTTGATGTTATTAAAGAGTTGCTGTTCACTCGTTTTCAGTCCTGATAATGTATTGTGGTCCAGTTTTTCAGAGAAAGTCATCTTTTAGAGCTATACTCTGAAGTATTACTGAATTAAATGATATAGTATCTATAATTTGCTTCAAAAAAAATCCAGTGATGAGGTGTGGGGGGTGGGGAGAGTTGGAGGAGTATAGACCAGGGGTCAGCAAACTTTTTTTTGTAAAGTAACAAATAGTAAGTAGTTTAGGCTTTGCAGGGCAGATGGACTCGGTTTCAACTGCTCAACTTCGCACTATAGCACAAAAGGAGCCATGGATGATACCTAAATGAATGAGCGTACCTGTGTTCCAATAAAATGGTATTTATGGCCCTGGCCAGGTGGCTTGTTTGGTTAGTGTGTTGTCTCATGAACCAAAAAGTTGAGGGTTTGACTCCTAGCTAGGGGACATACTTAGGTTGCAGTTTTGGTCCCCAGCCGGGATACATATGGGAAGCAACCGATCTACATTCCTCTCATATCAATGTTTTTCTCTTTCCCCTTCCCTTCTTCCCCCTACAAAAAAAAATGTATCTTCGGGTGAGGAATTCTTAAAAATGGTATTTATGACTTCAGAATTTTGAACTTTATATAATTTACACATCACAAAATATTATTAAAACTTTTTCAACAGTTTAAAAATTTGAAAGCTGTTCTTAGCTTGTGGGCCATGTGAAAACAGAGAGCCCACATTTGGCCCATGGGCTGTAGTTTGCAAACCCCTGGAGTAGATGAAACAAGATTCACCATAAACTGTTCACTATTGAAGCTGAGAGACAGGTTCATGGAGGCTCACTGTAGTAACTGGTCTACTATGATTATGTTTTAAGTTATTCATAATAAAATATTAAAAACTAAAAAGGAAAGTCATCTTCCTTTTCTTCCTTGACCCTCTCACTGGATGGGAAAGTGGTCCAGCACCACACACCCTGACTTGTTAGCGGACATTTGTGAGCCCACCTTCCCAGATAGTGTTACCTGCCCATAGTTCCAGGGCCAGGAGGTGATGAATCTCTCTTGACCCTTGTACACAAAGCCATAGTCCATCATGATATACTCCTGCAGCAGTATTTCACTTGGCAGGTAGACATCATCTTCTGAACAGTTAAGAGGAGTGGAGGGGGTAAAACCCCAAACCAAAAAAAAAAAAAGAAAAAAAAGAGTAGTAAAAATAAACACGGTATTGAAAGTATCTTGCTGGAAAAAGGAGAAGCAATAGGTTGATGAAAACAGAAATCAAGAGTGCACCCCTTAAAAGTCTACTGTATGTTTTTCTAGAGGCCAGAGATAAAATCTATACTTTTAAAAAATATTGATTATCTTTTCCTCATTGTAAAAGCATCAAGCTTGTTGTAGAGATTTGGAAAATACAAATGATGGAAAGAAGACAATGAAAATCAGTAATTCGCACTCCTTGGGGACACTCACATTTTGGTGTATTCTGGCCACTCTCTCTTTCTCTGCACATATATGTAATACATTGCATATCACATCTCCTAATCTATTTCAGTTACTCTCACACCATGTAAGTCATTTCAAAAGAGAGTTTATGGGACCAAAAGGCAGAGCTCTTAATGCTGTGACCTAAGATTGAAGTTCTCCATGGAATGTAATAGACACTCAATAGTGCTGTATTTTCCTGAGGAGATAGAAAATTAAAAAAGAAAATCACACCTTGAACATTTTCATCATGCTACTAAAAATTCCCTGTAAAGATGGTTTTTAGTGAGCACAAGGTAATGTATTGCATAGATATGCAACATTTTTTCTTCTGGGCTTACTAAGTAGAATTTTACAAAACAATCCCAATGGATCAAGATAGAATTACCACCTGTGAGCAAGCTGTACCTGTGCTCCAAGGGTTAAAAAGCAGGATGAAAGTCCCCAGGGGGTGAGTCACGTTGTAACCCTGGCCTTGAGAGATCTCTATCTTCAGAGTGTAGGGTCCAATGACGGCATTGGATGGTGTGAAAAGGGAGACAGAGAGTGAGTTGGAGTCCATGGTGAAGTCAGAAGCACTCCAGGCATCCCCTTGTTGGGCCTGGGTGAGTGGGAAGGTGGCTCGGGTTCCTGACAGCTCCATGGGTGCTGGCCCTGTGTAGAAAAGAACGACTCCAAGTTGAGGTTCAAAACTCTGCGTGACATGATTCCAGGCATTCTGGAAAGACCCTCACCTTTTCCCAACACTTGCTAGTCCTCTTGGCTTAAGATTTTTACTGCCACTGGGTGTCCTTGGGCAAACCAGTTAAGATCTCTGGGCTTCAGTCCTTTGTGAAATGGGATCATAATAGTGCCCACTTGAAAGTCTTGTCACAAGAATTAAATAAGTTTATGTGTCTGAAGTTTAGAACAGTGTCTATAGTGTATTTAAAGGTTGGCCGTTATTATCACAATTTCAGGTTTCTGAGTTGGTCAAGTTCTTTCTTAACAACACTAATAGGGTGCTAACAGTGCCCTGGAGAATCCAAGGAGAAGAGAGGAAGGGCAGCACAGAAAGGAGAAGTAGGGGCCCTACAGGTGAACTTTCCCTTGGGGAGGGTGAACTCACCAGTCTCAGCTGTGAAGGTAATGCGGTCGGTCCCCCAGTGGAAGGGTCGGTTGAAATGCAGCTGGAGCATGAAGGGCTGGCCCCGGCGCACGATAAGCCGTTTGAGGCCCATCTCTTGCGTGTGATGAGCCTTGTTGTTCCTGGGGCTCTGCAGGTCGACAGACCTGAGCTCTAAGGCTGCCTCTGCGAGAAAGGTGGGCAGAGGTCTGCCCAGCTCTGGATCCCTGGGCTCGGCGTCCCCTGACTCCTCAATCTTTTCTGTGGCGCCTGGTTCTGACTGAGCTAAGATTCCTGTCCAGACCTTAGGCCTTCTGCCACCCCACTCCCTGGTTCCAGGACTCGGTCTCAGAGGGTAATTCAGCAGGCCCCGGCCTGAGAGTGGGAGCGCGAGGATCCTAGTGACCTCTGTACCTGGACCGAGAGCCACAGTGCTTGAGAATTAGGGTCTCGTGAAGCAAATCATTTCCAGACAACTGAAACTTAACCCCACCACATACCATTAACTGTTCATGTGGATATTCTTTCTATAAGTTACTCTATTATTCTGCTGATAAAAGGAAGAGCAAATTAGAATTTTGTATGAATTAAGTCAATGACCTAACTGGAGGCTGGAACCTCAGCTACAGGCAAGTTCCTGCTTTTGGATACAGGGCAGGTGGAAGCCTCAGGGTTACTTGTAGGTGATTTATTGCTTCTCAACCGTATTCCTAGTGTACGAAGGCACTGACTGCTGCTTCGTGGGGCGTTACTGTATGGGTACACCTAGCTTACAGTTTTAAAATTCTCCTAACACCATGTGCAAGAATGCAAGCTCTCACTGCCTCAGCTCTGAGCTCTTGACTGAGTCATTTAATGTCCCTAGATATCAGAGTCCTCAGCTGAAAAATGGAGACAATGATAACCTTACCTCATAGGGTTCATATGCGCATTAATTGAGGATTCACATGTAAAGACCTGAATATAGCAGCAGGTGCACAATGAGCACTCCACCAAAGGGAGGGCCTTCATTAGTTGCTCTTAGTACTAGTAATAATGCAGCCTCAGACTGCATTTGCTTTGTTATTTTTGCTGGTGGTTTTTATTGTATTTCTGTCAACAAAAATCTATTAGGTCTTTCCCCATAGCACCAATTAATTTATTTCAGTGGTTCTCAACTGGGGAAAGTTTGTCCCCTGCAAGATATGTGGCAATGCCTGGAGACATTTTCAGTTGTCACAACTAGGGGAAAAGGCTGCTATTGACATCTAATGGGTAGAGGCTGGTGATGCTGCCAAACAAGATCCTGTAGGAAAATCTCGCTTTTGCTTCCAGTCATGATGTAAACTGGGTCACAGGCAAAAAATTTGAAAGCAACTGACCTAGATCCTGTTGGAAACTGGTTGCATATCATTTGTTCCCAAGGGTCCTCACATTTTCATACCAAGACCTACTGAGCCTTCCCAGAAAGCCTCTCCACCCCATACATAGTGCCCAAGGGCCAATCCATCCTGAACCATCGGATGCCCAGAACAGGAAGTGAAGAACACACTCCCACAGGAAGGGCCAATATTGGGGCAGCCTTTTCCTGGATGCTCTTCACAGCTCAAAGCTCAGTCCCCAAGGGCAACAAACTCCATTTTCCCTTGACCCAGGCTGACTCTTGGTTTAAGGAAGAAAGGGAGAAGGAGGAAGAAAGCTGTCTTCCTCTTCTTGCCCAAAGTTGTTGTGTTCAGAGAAAACTCATTCTCCATTGGAGGCTCAGGTTTTCTTTTTTAATTCCATTTACTATAATAATGCCTTTGGCCCACTGAAGTGCCTTTCGTGTCAGGGAGACAATGACTTCAGAGAAACAAAGGGAGGGCCTTCCAGGGAGCAGGAATGATGCCAGGAGTTCAGGAAGAGGTTCAACAAAGCAGGAAATCAAGCAGAATCAATTAGTAAAAGCATGTCATTGTCCACAAGGCCTTCTTGACTTGGCCACTGGCCCACCAGAGTTAGTAACAAGTAAGAGGAGAGGTAAGCCCCAGCCACATGACTCCTGATGCTTGATTAATACAAAGACGAGGACGTAAAAAGGATCAAAATATATCCCCATGTATTATCAGCCTTAAAAAAAAGAAAAAGAAAAAAGGAGACATTCAAACAGCCCTCTCTGCCTGCAGTGAATTCTGAGATGCAAAGCTCTTGCCTTCTGAGAGATCAAAACCTGAGGCTGCCCCGCTCTTATGGAAGGTTTTATCTATCTCTTCCTTTGAGTTTTGGCTCAGAGGTAACCACTGATTAGAGACTTTCTTTAACCTTTGAGGATCCACCTCCCAGCCTATGGTTACTTAACCATCTCAACACCCTCTTTATTTTCTGCAGAACACTTAATCATATCTAGAATTAATTCCACAAAAGCAGAGTACTTGGCCACCTTCTCATGCCTGGCTAGAATGGCACATGGTTCCTAATTACTGATAATTATAGCTGATGTTCTTACTTAAGTCTTACTACATGTCAGGCACTGTGTGAAGTGTTTTACATGACATAAGTCATTTACATTCTCACAGCCACTCTCTGTAGAGGTGTTAATATTGTTTCTGACATACAGGGCATAGCTGGGATTGAAATTCAGGTAGGTTGGTCCCAGAGCCTGTCCCTTAACCCTTCACAATCTTCTGCCTCCCCTTGCAGCTGCTTAGAGATGTTTTCTGAATGGATAGGTGCATATAGGCATGAAGGAGGAGGAGAATGATCTGGCAGAAGAGAAGTAAGGCTGCAGCGGGGCAGAAAGAGAAGCGCCTGTGAAGGCAGCAGGACCAAGCAGCTGCTGTTGTCTTCAGGAGTAATGTGCATACCTTTCCCTGATGGGAGAATAAAAGTTATATACTTTTATATTGAGGGCAATATATCGATATTTATTACAAAATCAAAAAAAAGCCTTAAAACACAAATACCTTTGAGTTGTAAGTTACTCCTCCAGGAACTTTAAAAAAAAAAAAAAATTTGGCCCTGGCCACTGTGGTTGAGTTGGTCATTCTTTAGACCAAAATGTCGAGGGTTCAATCCACGATCAGGGCACATACTAGAGGGCAACCTATCAATGTTTCTCTCTCACATCATTGTTTCCCTTTTTCCCTCTCTCTAAAAGCAATGAGAAAAATATCCTCAGGTGAAGATTAAAAAAATCATAATTTGTGTACAAAAATGTAAGCATAAGGATGTTCGGTGCAACCCAAATAATCTTATATTAAGAGTTGCATACACAAACTTTATTCTACTCATCTTGATGTAATTGAAAAAAAAGGACAAAGAATATGGGGAAATAATTCATGAGATAATAATAGGAACATAAAAGACTAAAAAACCATATGTTACAGATTTTTTTTTAATCTTTAGATGGTGAAATTATGGGAAGTTTCTCTTTCCTTTGAGTTTTTTGGGGTTGTCCAAGCTTTTGCTTAAACATTTATTCTTTTTGTATTTAGCAGAAAGTGTTACTTTGATTAAAGGCAGGTTTCTGAACAGGAGTGGCATGATCAAAGCTATGCTTCTGGATTAATCCGGCTGTGGTATGCAGCGCAGATTGGAGGGAAAAAAAGACAAGCATGGGAAGGGCAGTGAGAACTCTGTTGCAATCATCTCAGGCAAAAGGCTAATGAGGACTTAAACAAAGGTACGCCAGGGACTGGCATCCATGGGCACGTGGCAGGCTAACAAACAGCTGAGTTGGAAAAAGACTGGAGCAGGTTGAAAGAGTCTACTGCTGATAATGTTCCAAGCCATCAGGCTCCTGGTGAAGGACTGGAAACCTCCAGGTGGAGACGGCGGAGGGGAAGTTATACCCAGCACAGCCAGTGGAGAGAGTTGGTACCCGCCGCCAAAGGTCAGGTGGACTCAGCTCCTTCCTTCTCCTGCCTTTGTCCCTATATTAGTCCAGCTTCTTGATCAATGTCTTTTCTTTTTCTACTACTCATTATTATTACCAGTTTGCGACTTGGATGAATATTTCCTTTTTTTCATTTCTTCCATTTTAAAAAATGTGAAAGGGCCCATCTGTGCAAGATCATAGAGAGATTCTTATGTGATGAGATAGTACAGTGTTTCTGTGCCTCTTTAAGTGTCCAAGGGTAAGAATGTTTAATTACCTAAAGGTCCAAATTCCTTAGGCAAGTGTTCAAAGCCCACTACAGTGTGATCCCAGTTTCTTTTCTTCCAAGAGCCATAAATAAACTCGCCTTCACTTGTGGCCTCCAAACAGATCATGCCCAGGTCTACCTCTGAAGGGTCCTCGCCCTTCCCCCAATGTCTACATGTCCCCATTGTAACCATTCTTGGAGCAAAACTCAGCATCCACCTCCTCCATGAAATCCTTCCCAAACATTTCAGAACATGGAGGTATCTTAGCACCTGTTACAATAGTTTTATATCTAGCTAATATTTATTAAGTATTATTAAGCTCCAGGATTTATATGCATTATCTCCTATCCTTACAAATAACCAACAAGGTAATAACTCCATATTACAGATGAGCAGACAGAGGATCAATGAGGCTAACTTTCTCAGTGTCACCTACCTAGTATTTGGCAAAATTGTCACTTTTATCTGGACAATCTGACTCCAGAACCTGACTCTTAACTTCCTACCTGTGTGCCTACTCTGAGGTCCCCCGCCCCTTTCTTTCCAAGTAAATGAATATTGTACTTTATTCAAATGAAAACATAATGAACAGACAGGCCTAAGAGGAGCTGCTCTGGAAGAAGAACTGGGGAGGGGTCCCCCTGCCTTCACTGTAGAGCCCTAGGGTTCCAAAGAACACAATGAAAACCACAGTCCCATCTCAACCACCGCATCCAAAAATGCCAGCCTGTCCAGGCTGAACCAGCTCCAGGACCTGCCTGGTCTCTCCCCCTGCGCTGCAATTTCTGACTCTAAACCACTTTTTTCTTAACTAATCACTGACTGGTATGTTGTTTCTTTGAAACATTATTTCCATTTAATGGAGGCTACATAATTAACTATATTATTTGACTGTTTACTCTCAGTACTCAGCAAATAGCTGCTGGCAAGAGAAACGTGTTCCTAGCTGGCTACACAAGTTAAATCATTAGGTCTTTTGCAGAAAATATAGCACTGGATTAATATCAATAA